ATACCATAAGAATTCAAACACAAGCTAAAAAAAAAAAGGATCTTATTGAAAAACAAAACAAATCCCTCCCCATTAAATAATTTCAAATTTCCCATCATTACCACATATTTAAATTGACATATGCAAGCATTTATCTGGTGTTTTGCTTGGTTTTACCTGCACGCGAAGGACAACAAATTGGAGAATTGGTGTAGGCATTGAGAAAGACAGTGCCACGTCTTTTCATAAAATTTATGGAAGGTAAATCCACAGTCTGATTTCCGGGGAAAAATGTCAGGCGTCCATCCTGCAATGAGACAAAAGCAACAATGCAAATGTTGCAAACTATCGGCCACATTAATTCATATATTTGTTACCGTGGACTGGTGTTGCTCAAATGCTGCCGATTCTATGCAGGTTTGGAAAACAGTGTTGAGAAGCCCTAAGTAGAACAATATAAAAAGGATCACTTTTGAAAAAGTGCAATGGAAATATTAACTGGGCTTCTTTATAGTAAAATTAATTCCACTGCACCACTATACATATTCCAAGCTCCAGTTCTTCAGGGGTGGGGTTGTACCATGACACATTCATGGGCATAGGTGCAGTACCATGACACAATGGGAATAGGTGCAGTGAACAATAAGGCTGGATCCCAATTTAGATGTGTGCACTAGCATATATTTCTGTGAAACCATCATTGATTCCTCATACTTTCTAAAGGTTTATCCATACTACTTCTCTGTGAACTTATTTGAAACTATGGACTGGAAAAGGGATCAGAAAGCTAAAGAAAGGCTATTCTCCCACAGAAATCCCACCCACAATGGTTCCCTTTTGATACGTCCATAATGCTAATTTTGATGCTTTCATAATGCTTATTTCATTTCAATAACCTATTTGTTTAGACAGATTTTTCAATCAGTAACTGAAAAAAGATTAAACATTTTGAATAGGTAATTTTACAGTAAAATATTATCATCACATGAAACCAGGTTTCATGCATATTTCATGTCACTGTGTTTCATCTGTCACTTTTATTCCCTTCCTTGGTTGAATAAGATGAGCCAACACAGCCCCAGCCTGACTGGCTCTTCAGTGAACAGATAGGCAGCAGTGCATCTGCAGTTTTAACTACAGAAAAATGTAATTCCCAGCATTCGGTTTCAGGCAGAAATACTCTTGGATAACCCAGCAATGTAGAGAGTCACTTCATTTGGTACCAGTAGAGCTAACTGCAGCATCCCAGCCTCTGAACTCAGCTCATATCAGAACATGCTACATGAGCAATCACCTAATCTCGTATACTACTACAAATGGCATCTTGATCAAGCACTCAGTAGGACAAACTGGAAATAAAGCTGTAATACACAATAAGAACTTGAACAAAACTTTGGACTGAAAGCGCTCTTTAGAAAGTTGTCCTGGTTCCAGCCAGGATAGGGTTCATTTTGGCAGTAGCCAGAAGGGGACAAGGCTAAGACATGGAGGTTATTGTGTAACACATGACATTTTCCAGGAACAGGGAAAGGGGTCCTTTCCAGGTCAGAGCAGTGTGGCAGCCAACAGACACTGTCGGGCTCTGCACAGTATAGCGGTGAGCATTCAACTGTGAATTGCTCACCTCTCTTGTACATTTTTGTTATTCATGTTATTGCTGTTATTGTTCTAGTAAATTGTTCTAGTTCTGCCGTTTCTAGTAAATCGTTCTGATAAATCTGCCGCAGAAGAATGGGAGGGGGACAGAGAAGCGAGCAAGTGGGACACGGTTTGAAGTGATTTCAGTGGGAACACTAAATTAGAGAATACTACTCCTAAACCATGACAAAAGCACTCAACTGCTGCGCAGTCCTGTCAACAACACACTATTAAATTTCTCCAACAAAGTCTTGTTTGAACAGCTGGAGACAAGAGTTTCTTACATTGATACTGTGATACCATATTCAATGACACAGCAGCAAAATAACTCTGTATTCTTGGTGTCACAGTACACTTAGGGTACTGTAACATGATTGTTGTTTCTACAGATGATAGGGTATTCAGTGAAAGTAGTAAGGCTGAGAAGGTGGAAGCTTAACAACTATTTCAGGAAATCCATCCCCTAAGAACTGTGTAGGATTTCCAGGTTTTGAAATACCTAAGGAAATAAAATTACTTTAACACAAACAAGCACTTTTCATGCAGAAACTTGAGCTGCATTGCGAGCAAAGCCTGCCATCCATCACACAGTAAATTTCAAGTAGCAATTCAGGAGCTGAATTGCCTACTAGCACATTTCAGCAGGAAACCCTTGGAATAGCACAATGCCTGGTGTAACACAGCAGCAGAAAGCTGGCTGTTCAAGTAAGAGGTCACTGTTCTGCAGGCCAAACACAATCCAGCATCACTGTGAAGAAAATTCTTGTCCCACTTGGCAAAATAGCTGTGATTCGTTCATAGGCAGTGTGACCCACAACAAAGGCAGGCATACTTTCTAATAAAAACCCAGACCTTTTAACAGCTTGCAGGACTTCAGCTTTTTCCCAGAAAAACTGCTAGTTTCAACAGTACCCCATCCTTCCTATTGTCTACTAGTGATGTAATCAAAATGGTTCATCTATTTCTACCTTCAAATCAATATCAGAATAAAAGCTTACACAACACATTTCTTTTACTCTTCTTTGTATGCACTATGCAAAGATGACACTTTTCAAAAACAGCACCCTGCTCTTAAGTGTTTCCATAAGAATTCCACAAAAATTGTGGGTTTTATCTTCTTCTTTTTTAAGGGTTACCTCATTAATCACTGTAATACGGTTTACAAGAATCTCCCTGCTTAAAGGAGATATATAAAAGTTCACCTAAGGTTTGTCTGCAGCCTCTGCTAACATCTGGATATAAAATGGACATTGACTAACCCTCACGATCTTGAATAATGTAATTTTAACTATTGGTAAATAGACTTCTATTAAAAGGTGAAAATTTGGAGAAAAAACCCACATATTATTTTGGAATATTAAGAGAGACTATTTACTGAAAATAAAACTAACAAAGAATAGAGTCAAAGGAAGGAAAGTCAATAAGGAGCTATTACATAAATAAAGAAGAAGCTATTTCTTTGTCTTTGAAATCACAATGAATGTGTTTAAAGACAGGGTTTGAAAAAAGATAATACATGTTTACCAAATATTTAGGAGAAAATCATCCCAAGAAAAACAGGCAGCAGACAAGAAGCAAACTGCTTTTATCTGTGCAGTCAAGGAGGGAAGCCCAAGAAGGTTAGGGATCAAACTTCCTCATAGTTAAAGAGAAGTGATGAAATGTGAAAGCACCTGGAGCTTAACACCACAGAGCTTATGTTTGATTCTACAAGGTGGGTTCAGGTGAGTTAGAGAAACCAAGGCTCCCTGGAGTAAAACACACCAAAGCATTCTTAGTATGCTGGTGGGCACAATGAGACAACTGTGAAGATACACGAAGGATTAGTATTTGTGAGTGGGAAAATTTCTCTGTCTGAAGGGTAAACCAAATATATTAATAAATCACTGTGATGAAGCTGCTACATGCCTACTGCTAGAGACACACGCCTGACAAGTTTACTGTGTTGTTATACCTTACAAGAGCCTCAATAAACCAGTACTCAGTAAGCCAGTAATTTCATCTGTGATTCTAGAAATTCGCTATCCCATTTGTTGTGGAGACTTAACAGCCATAGGACTTACAATGGGAAGGGTAACATGGTTTAGTGACCTTGCTTGCCATTAGGCTTTTCAAGCGAACCGAAGAGCATTGACTGCACACACCAGCCCTGCTCCAGGGACAGCTGCCCGGCCAAGGAGTCCTGCTGGTCGCCCCCCTCCCGGGCGACAAGCTCTCTGACCCCAGACCAAGGGAGCCACCTGCGCAGAGGTTTTCGGCTGCTGGGAAGCCCCTGATGCGAGCAATGCGCACCCTTCTGGGAAGCGGGCCGCGTCTCGGTCGGAACACTGGGGTAAACAGTCGGGGTGCGGCTGTCTCGTCGTACGGCGGGCCCGCTGCTAATGCTCCTCCTGTTGCAGCCCCTGCCGCCGCTGTTGGTGCTGCTGCCGCCGCCGCTGTTGGTGCTGCTGCAGCCCCCGCCGAGCCGCAGGCGCCCCGCGCAGTGAAACCGCGCTTGCGCATGCCCGTGCCTCTGGCCTAGGTAATGCATCCATACGGCCGCGGTGTCTCATCCTCGCTCGTTCCGTCCAGGCCACCGCCGAGAATTTCCCCCCCCCGCCCTGCCCTTACGAGTCAGCGTGTCCTTCCACGCCCCGATCACTCACCAAGGAGTCGCAGGCCACCAACACCACGTTAGATCGGGGCTGGTCCCCGGGGACGGCGGGCCGCGGCCTTGCTCCCGCCCCGGCGGCCATGAGGAGCAGCGCCACGCCAGCTAGCCCCAGCGGCCCGCCGTTTCGCTGCGGCCCGCAGTCTCGCATCGCCCCTCCACCGTGGCCCCCAGCTCTCTAACCGAGGAGCAGCAGCTCCGAAAGCAGATTCCGGGGCTCTGGCCACAGCGAAAGATTTGACCCCACCGCACGCTACCCGCTCACTGCGGCCTACAACTCCCACGATGCCCAGTGCGACGGCCTGCAATTCCCAGCGTGCCCCGGGAAACGGGAACTACATCTCCCACAGTGCACCAAGAAAAAATGGCGGCTGCCGCGGCGTGTCACTGCCCCGCGTCTCAGTGCGCCTGCGCACTGGTGGTAGCTGAGGTGGCGGACGCGGCGGCGGCTGCAGGTGCGGCAGCGGCGGGCGGCGGCGCGCCCTGGGGCCGGGCTCGATCCGCCCTGGGCACCGGGCTCGGGGCTCGGCCCGTCGCGGCTTTCCCTGGGTGGGGGGCTGCAGGCGTGGGTTGCCTCCCCAGGCGGTTCGCGGCCCCGGAGGCCGGGCTGGATGGCCTCCCCGGTGCCCAGGTTTGCGCCGCAGGGTCTTTTGCCTGTAGGTGACTGTGCAGCTCAGGCTGGACAGTGCCCGCGGTGGGGTACGTTTGTGATGGCCGAAGCATCTGTTCCCTCGTAGGAAGCAAATTTATCTCCAGGAGCTGCTGAGCGATTCAAGTCCGACAGATTTCTTTATAGGTTCTGAGGAAATCTTTGAAATTCGATGTCGTCCTATGTCCAACCATTCCTTTATTTTTGCTTTGCAGCTCCTAAAAAGTTTTTTTGTTCTTCAGCTGGTTGCGTTTTTCATCTTTTTGAGTCCTGGCAGCAGTAGTGTTGTTTCTCAGTCTCATCCTATCTCGGCAGCTTTGACTGTGGTGTTTCTAAAGTTCATTTTGGTGTACAACATACACCAAAACATTAAAAGATTGTTTTAAAAAGCGTCAATGCCTCTTTGCTGTGTTCTTAAATGCTTTTTCTTTTTTGATTCGTGGCAGTAGTCAGAGGCAGAATCTGCTGTAACTGTGTGTGAAGGGCGGGCCGCGCCGAGGTGTGACAGATATCCGCGGTGCTGCTGTAGAACGCTCACAGAGAATACCCTGATTCTTAGCAGCCTCTGGGACACATTTCTCGGGCCATAGGTGTCTTAAACACGGTTCACTGCTTAGTTTCTTTTTAAAAAGGATCTGCTATGTGTAGCCTAACTACAGGCTCTCAAAACACCTCTTCCTTAAATTTGTCTTAACTTGTACAAAAAGTTTCATTCTTGGATAGCTACTTTGTATCATGTAACTCTTTGGAATAATGACTGAATCCTGCATTGGAGCTAAATGTGAGTAGTTTCAACTATGCCATCTTTTTTATGAGTTTCTGGTGCTGTATGTATTTTGGCATACTGCACTAAATTTCTCTGTTTAAAATAACCCCTGTGCAATAAAGGTATAAATATTTTGTATGTGTCAGAATATCTGTTTTTACAAGAACTGATGATATGTCCTTTGTATTTAGCAGCCACAATGTCAAATAAGGAGGTGAAGGCAGCATTGAAGAGTGCTAGAGATGCAATAAGAAATAAACAGTACAAGGAGGCCTTAAAACATTGCAAGGTAATTAATTTTATATTTGGAAGGCAAGTTTGGGGCTTTTTGCACATTTTGTTCTTTTTCCCATACCTCCACAACTGTATAATTAAGAGTGTAGAGTGTAGAGTACCATATTGATGTGATAGTTGAGATGGATTTTCAGAATTAACTTAATTGATTGTTTGTGTTAGTTTCCCCCATGTAAACTTTTATTCCCTTTTTTTTGGAATTTGCTGACATGTGGCGGTAAGAGTATTAAGTCTGGAATGATAGAGATAAAAATCCATTTCTAATCCAGACCTCCTAGGAGTGCTTTAATTGCTGGGCTGCAGCACTAACTCAACACATCAGGTGTGAAGCATCCTCTAGTACAAGAAACTGAAGTTACTAATCTCAGTGTCTTACATAAAATTACTTAACTCCTAATATTGCCATATAAAATAATTCACTAAACTGTAGTGATAAAACTCAGTACATGGATGTGTAAGTTACATTTCTTTAATCAGATTAATCTTTAATCATTTCTTTAATCAATTTTTTACTTAAAATTGTGTGGTTTAGGCAGTCTTGAAGCAAGAAAAAAATAACTACAATGCTTGGGTATTCATTGGCCTGGCAGCTGCTGAGTTAGAGCAGCCTGATCAGGCCAAAGGAGCATACAAGAAGGCTATTGAACTTGAACCAAACCAGTTACTGGCATGGCAGGTATGTGAATATCCAATTTTTGTTTCCCTCAAAAGTATCACTATGGAGTTAAATATAGGAATAAAGCAGAGTTAAGACTTGTATCTTGTTTTCTTGAGGCCCTTAAGTTCCAGAGAAGCTTTGGAGTAGATGGGGTTCCTGTTAGTTGTGTGTCCAATGTAAAATCATCATCAACTTTATTTTCAGTTCATCTGAGTTTGTATTTCTTATGTAGACTATACAGTGGTGAGACATGCAAGGGAGAACACTAATTGAAACAATTACAGTAAATTTGTCCAAAAATTTCTATGCTTGTAGGTCAATAAACACCTGACAGTTCTTCTCTTACAGACAGAAAATGTTTTATCTGATGCTTTCAGCATCAAGTGGATTGTTAATGAATGTTATTGTTACTTGAAATCAAAAAGTTTACATTTAAAACAGCTGTGTGGTGTGTGCATTAGAGCCTATTGCAATGTAGATTTACAGCCTACAATTTTGTTATGTATTAATTCATGAAGCATAAGGTTTCATATTATATATCTGTTGCTGATATCAACAGTCAATGTTTCTGTAAGATAATAAAGTTCTTAGTATTTTCAGTATAAATGGTATTTTAAAGTATAACTGTTGGGGCTTGAATTCAGTGTATGTTGAAATGTCCTCACTTTTGCTATTAGGTTCTGGCTTTCTTGATACAATACTTGGGTGTGCATATATGTTGTTATGTATTTTGCATATTACATACACACACACATATATATATACATATGGTTATAAGGCCTAGTGAAGTTTTATATTGTCTTTTGTGCAGACCAGATCAAGTAACCGATACAAGTTTCAAAAAATTGTTGTTATTAGTAAAGAAATTGAAGAAAGCTTTTCACTTAAAATTAGTCGATTGAATGGGCTGTGCAGAATTCTGCACAGTGATTACTGCCTTTACACTTGACCCCATTGAAGGCAATGGAATATTTTTTGTATACAGAACGGGTAGCATTCTCATAAAACATAAGCATTGTCATAAAATCTTGCTTCCTTTACTTTTTTTTGTTGGTTTTTTTTTTTCTTAAGGGATTAGCAAATTTGTATGAGAAACCAAATCAAACAGATGTCAAAGGAGACTTAGCAGATGTGTACCAAAAACTCTTGGAACTTCATGAAAGGTAAAGAATATTGAATGCTATAAATTCAGTCTAAAGATTTCTAGTTCAGTGAATGCCATTGGTGGTACAGAGTATAGACTTTGAGTTTTTGAAGCCTTCTCACATCAGTAGTTCAGCCCTTGTGCTATGGTTTTCTCTGCTTAGGTAAGTTTTCTTTTTCCTGTTCCTTTTGGTAGAGCAAAAACTCTCTTAGCTTACCTGTACTTGAGGCTAGTAGTTTATGGAATTCCATGTTATCCTATTCCTGTCCAAACTTGAAGCATTTATCTCTGATAAGTGATTGCCTGCATTAATAAGAAGGCTTATTTTTCACTGCTTTAAGATCACAGAATATGTGTCATGCAATTTGTAGAGGCACAGTTCTAAACAAATCTAGCTCAGCTGTCACTGTAGCTGACTGGAGTGCTTGGTTACTTTGAAAACTGATCCAAAAGTCCATAAAAGTTTTTTTTTTTTTGTTCAGAGCAGCAATGAGTAAAACTTATAGGGCAATTTTTAGTATGTAGTCTAAATATGAGTTTGACAACTGAACTTACTGAAAATTATTTGTCAGAATTTGAAAAGCATTACACTGTTATATAAAAACTTAGCTTGTTTTGGGGGGATTTTCTTCCTTTCTAGTGGTGACAAGCAGAAATGGTGTGATATATGTAACAAGCTTGTGGAACTATACCATCAAGAAAAGAAATATTTAGAGGTAGGTCAAGCACTCTCTTACTTCTAACAATTATTTTCCATTTGATCTAACTACTTTTCATCAAGGAACCTCCATTCTTATGGGCCACAGACCACTTAAGGTCTCCTTGTGGACCACAACCAGGAGGAACTGATTTTAACTGTATTTTGTCTTTTCCACTGGGTGAGACTTAGATGCAATCCATTAAACTGACAGAACTGGCAAAGACTATTATTATTGAGAATGAAAGGGCAGAATATCATCCTTCTGTTGTATTTCTAGAAGTCAAAAGTGGTATTAAATGCAGTATGTGTGAGTCAGGTGTCCTTTGCCTGGCTTGGCCAGTGCTGTTTGTCCAATGAGCCTTTCACTGGTGGGGTGATCCCTTCCTAGGCTATTACTGAAGCTTCATTCTAGAGGGCAAGATGGGGTATGTACACAACCTGAACTTGATTGCTTATGTCTTCTGTACTGCATTCCCAACACAATGATAAGGACACAAAAAACCTCTTCAGAGCAACACAAGCTTTGCAGAAATCATTGTGACTCTAGTCAGTACCGGGAGGTGGAGTTGTCAACAGTCATGATACCTGCAATCTCTGTAGTATTGTTATAGAATGTCTGTTTTGGAGGTATGCACTTTGCTCTTTCAAAAGGCTGTTTTCTTACCTGGTGGTGCATGATTGTATTCTATGTCATCTTCCCACCTCTCGTCCAGCAATGGAACATGGAAAATTTTACATAGCACGGAGCATGGGGCTGAAGGCTATCAGTTAACTCCAAAGCCTCATTGTATACCAGCTTCTTAAACTAAATTTAATGCTGATAGTTTAGCATATGAAGGCAGACTTACTCTATATGGAACAAGAACCTGAAGTTAGGCTTCAGGGTCCTATTTTTTGTTTCCATTTCTGTTGACTTTTCCATGCTGGAATTTCAGTGTGAACTGCTCCTTTTGTTCTCTTTCTGTTTGTAGTGCCCTAGATATTTAGGTTTACTTTTACTGTTGGTTTCCTCCAGGAACCAGAGTTAGAATTCATATACTCTTGATCTTCTCTAGCTTACTTACTGTACTTTGGAAGGTAGAGAGGTTGCACACAATGCATTGGGACTTGCTATTTATTTAATCAGAAAGCAAGTAAATCTGGGTTACTGGGTAACTGTAAATGTTACTATGTTGTCTACCCTAGAGTGATAGAGTTTGATACCCAAGGGGTAACCCAAGAATGAGGAGTTCTACTGTGTGTGTGCACTTTTGGCAAAGAAACAGGGTGTACAGGATCTGCTTTCTGAGCAAGGACAAAAGGAAGATAAGGGGAGGTCATCTGGCTTAGGAATGCAGCTGCTGCCTAAACAAGACTATAAAAGACTGAACCAGGGGAGGGATTTATGGTAATAAGCAATTATAATATGTATTATGACTGTGTGTAAGCAATGCACTTGCAGAGGATCGGAATGCACACCAGGTGGAGCAGTCCCCCATGCATCCCTTACCCAGTAAATTAAATAATGCTGATTTCTTAAAGCTGCATTGGTATTAAGGAGTTTATTTACCCGGTTTTCAGTGAATTTTGGTGACAAGTTGACTACTTATATCGGACTTTCAGCTCTTTAAAGAGTAATCAGCATGGGTCATTTGTTCCTGTTGACAGGTGGCTGAAACTTGGCAGAAACTAATAAGGATGAAACAGGAGGAAGGTGCAGAAAAGGCAGAGCTTCATCAGCTTTGGAAGAAGATGATCGAGTTACTGAAAGACAGTACAAGGAACCAGGATAATAAGACTGGGCAGTTGGTAATATTTCTCACTCCTTGTTCAGCTAGGTACATATATATATGTCCAGTGCACCTAGTAATTGCAGCCTGTTTGTCTGAGTTGACTGTCTCAGTGTTCAGAGGTACTAAACTTCTGAGGAAAAGTTGGGCAGCTTTACATTTTGACAGAAACAGCAACTGTGCAGCAGCCTGAGATGAGCCTTAGGAGTAACGAGTCACCTAAGTTCTTCACAAATTGTTCTAGCATGGTTTGTTTTACAGGGTGTAGTCCTTCACTGGCAGACTGCTCCAGCACTGGTCTTTTTCTTACTCTGACATATTCTTACTTCTCTCTCTGCCTGTAATTGCTGTTGCACTGGTTTCTTCCCCTTCTTGAATCTTTTATTCCAGAGGGACTCCCAGCATTGCTGATGCTCTTGACCTCAGCCAAACATGTCTGTCTTGAAGCCAGCTGCATCAACTCTGTTGGACATGGGGAAGGTTTCTAGCAGCTTCTCATAGAACCCACCCCACTTAGCCTCCCTCTAGCAAAACTTTGCCACACATAACCAATACAGATGTTCTTCAATAAACAAACTCCCCCCTGCTTTCATCCAAGTAGGAAGAAATGGATTTGTGAGGTTTTTCCGTTTCTTTGTACCTATTCTTTTTCCTAGATAGCAGTATTTTGGATGAAATTTTCTTTTCTCCTCTAGGTATTAAGCTTTAACTTCTTAGGAAAGTGTCAAAGCTGATTGAAACCAAACAGAATGATCATGAGTCCTCTGTGGACAAAGTTAATTTTGTTTTATCTGATTTATCTGTTCTTGGAAGATGAACTTCCTTCAGCATGAAAGGTGGAAATGTATCACCTGATAGCAGTGTTTCAGAAAGGAGAAAATACAAATTGAAGTTATTTCAGATAGCAGAAAATTGAATCTGTATCTCTACTTTTAAAAAAGCAAAGGCTTTAACTTCAAGCTAGTGTAGAAAAGAGGTACTGCAGGCAGCACTGCTTTTTTGGAAAGGAAAAATCACTTCAGATTATTTTTTAAATAGCATAAACCTCAGGAATAACTTTCACATGCAAATCCACAGCTTATTGCAGTTTCAAGTAAAGCACTTGAATCTGGAAGGCTGCAGACCTGAAAGCAACACACTTCAGTATTTCTCTAGTGACAAGCTGTGTACAACTTTGTTTAGCATGGTTGTTTGTAAGCCTGCACTCTGGTGCCTGTGTTCCCCAAAGCATCAAGAAAAAAAGATTAGACTAGCCTTCTAGATTTCTAGACCAGAGTGGGGAGAGAGGCTGACAGCTAACCTTACAGGATAGTAACCTAATTTCCTATTCTTTGAATTGGGATTAGGTTTGAAGAGCAATCTATGTTCTTAAAAATTTTACCTTCCTTGTACCATCTTATGTTTTGTGGCATCATATTATTGCTTCATCTTGTACTAGACAATTTAGATGCTTTAGATGCTGAGTGCTGCTTCATGATAAGAAACTTGCTTCATGTCTTTCTCTGTTCATAGCACTAGTGTAAACTTTTAAAGTAGGATCTAGGTAATAACATGTAAGTACCCACTTTAATATGGAAGGGCTGGAAAGCATGTTATCTCCTCTAAGGAGCAGATAACTTTGGGTTTTCCAAGTTTGGAGGAGACTGAGGGGTGCCTCTATTGTCTGCAGCTTCCTGAGCAGAGGAAGTGGAGAAGGAGGTGCTGAGCTATTCTTTCTGGCATCTAGTGATGGAATGTGTGGGATGGGTTCACCGGACTTGACATGTGGCATCATTTCTTTACCAAAAGGGTGGTCAAGCATTGAAGCAGCCTTCCTAGAAATTCAGTTATGTCCCAAATCTATCAGCATTCAAGAGGCATTTGGTCATTGCCCTTAATAACATGTTTTAGCTTTTGGTCAGATCTAAAGTGCTGAGGCATGTGGACTAGATGATTGTTGTATGTTCCTTCCAACTGAAATATTCTATTCTATGAAGATAGATTTCCCTAGAATATTTGTTTTGCACTCCTGATTTTTTGTTATTTCAGCTTTTGACTGCATTTGAACATGCGCTGCATTCTGCTGACACTGTTCCTGGTGAAGACCACCAAAATCTTTACAAAGACTTCATACAGTGCTTGTCTAAAGTAAGGTTATGTTAAAGCATCTTTCTAGTAAGAAAATAGATCTGTTATTTCACATCTGAGAACTCACATAAATAACTGTTTACTCTTTTTTCCTTTCTAGTTTCCTCATGAAGTCACTAGGTTGGAAAAGGCTTGTGATGATATGATGGCTTTGTACCCTTCTATGACTTACCCTTTGGAAGTACTTTGCTTGCACTTTGTTCAGTCAGGTGAGTAGGATGGATTTAGGCATTTCGAGGGCTGAAATTTTTTAAATAGTTGATTTTGTGACAAACTGTTTGCAAGTTTTTACCTTTCACAAGGACTGTACAAGTACTTTCCTTACTTCTGTGTTATGTTTCTGAAAATAAAGTGTTTGGTCCTATGACTTGTCATTTCCTTGCCCTGTAACTGAGTAGCAACTGTAAGTGACAAAAAACCTGCTGTAAGGGAAGTCCAGCTCTTTGAAGTTTCAAAGAAAAATGCCTCACTTGAAAGCAGCCTCTCTGGATAAATGAATATTAGCTTCTTGACCTTTTAAGAAAAAGTGAAAGAGTGTTAGCCAGTGCTCTGAGGTTCACGATGCGCTATGCTGAGGTTATTCTTGACACAGATTCTCTTCCATCACAAAAAAACCCCACAAAAACCCAAAACAAAAAAACCCCAAACCAAAACAAAAACAAACAAGCAAAAAAACCCCACAAACAAATAACCCCCAGATAAGCATTTGTGCAACTATGTTAGAGAGTGTGTCTTGTGAGTAGGGAATAACAGATCTGTTTAGATATATATTCTGAGTAGAAAAGGAGACTCTTTGAGGGGAAAAAGACAAAACCTGGTGTGTTCAGAAGTGCAGGGATCTGAAACTATGCATTACTATTTTTTAGTCATTTACTGAACAACATTGCAATAGCGTTGGACACTTTCTCATAATTTTCAAAGGTAATTATTAGAATTTAGCTTTTTGTTTTGTTATTTAAGTAATCAGAAGTTATTTTGTTTCTTTTTAAAGCAAGGAGACCAAGTCAGAAAAAAAACCCCTCTAGAAATAACTTTCATCTTGGGTAGAAAAAGGGTTTTTCCTGTTTTGAGGAAATGGAATATGATAGCAAAATACAGCAAGTGAGAATTTTTCACTTTGTTTTGGAAGCATGAGGACAAATGAGGCCCAGACTCACAATTTGTAAAGTATTTGAAAATGCTTTACATTTTGGAGAAATGGGCAGAAACTAATTTTCAAAAGAAAAGGTTAGTGCAGTTCTTGGATACTAGCACTCTCACAATATCTCATCGTCCTACAAGCTTCTTGGAGGGGAAGGATGCTGCTTGTGTTTTAGAAAGGCTGTTTGTTTAGGTCTGAGTCATGTGTTTTAATCCTTCATGTCCTGCACTTCTCACAGGCTTGTTAATTTAGGTGCATTGTAAAGTCACCTTTAGCAAATGCAGATGAAATCAACTGTTATGCCACATAAATCAATAATTCCTTAAAGAAAATAATAGCTTGAAGGTTGTTGCAACAAGTCACAAAGTTCCTGTCAGTATTGCCAAGTCTACAATCACAGCTAAATGCAGGCATCAAAAGTTAGTGGCGTCAGTTAAAATTAAACTAAAACATTAAATGATATGGTTTCACAGCAAGGTAATTTCAAAAGCTTATCACAGCAAATTAGCAGATACACAATGTCTCTTCTGGAAGGAAATTTTATTGATTTATTTGTGACAGATTTTGGCATGTGCACTTTCAGCTGAACTTACATGAAAAGCATATTATTATTTAACAATATTTAAATTATTATATTAATTATTTATTAATAAAGGGAGTATACCTGGAGTAATTTAGCAAAAGTCATTATTCAGGTTTCAGACTGTCAGTTTATTTTGTGGACACAGTACTGAGTATTTAGGTTACTTCTTGGGTTTTGGTTCTTTTATGGGATAGGGGATGGTAAGTGTGTAGAGCCTTTGGAAAATCAAAAGGATAATGATCATTTATATGAATAAGGTAAGCTGTTGCAGTTATTCTTTTAATCTAAAACCCTACAAAACGTGTCTTTTTCTGAAACCAGGTACTTTGCCGGAAAAGGCCCTGCACTGTTTCTCTAAACTTTTGGAGATGGATGCAAGCAGTGGTCCAGGCATCATTGGTTTTGGTATAAAATGCCTCAAAGAAAATAAATACAAGGAGGCTGTTAAGAGTCTTACTGAAGGTAAATGTGTAATATGAGATGTGAGTAGTCTGTAACTTGAACACTAGATTATGTTGAAAATTTAGGGAATCTTATACTTGCATAGTAGTTTGAAAATTCTAAGACCAGCTAGATTTTAAAAGAATGCTGAACACTTCATCTGATTTTGTTGAAATGTTTGAAATATAGCTTTAAGTATAGCATCTCTAATGCCTTTCATTTGTGTTATAGTAAGCTCTGTAGTGTTTTAAGGTAAACCGTTTTTAATCCTACTGTTATTGGGAAAATAATTAGATGAAACGCTAACTGGAACAATAGCAGTAAATGAAGGAATGTGAAATTTATGAAGTAAAATGTAATGCAACCTCTCTAGTAGAGTCACTGCATTTCTCTGCCTGAGCAAAGATGACTTTTCTCTGAAGTAATTTCATTTTCAGTTGGGTAAAGACTCACACTGAGTATTTAGAGAGAAATATTGTAAGGGTTTTTTTCTGTTTTGTTGTTCTACAGTAATTATATTTCCTGAAGACTTGGCTTACTCATCTGTAAATTAACTTCCTTGTATTGAAAGGGCAAAACTCTTTCTAAAATACTCATTAAGTATACTAGTGGGAAAATGACACTGCCCACCCTCACTAGCTGCTGTGGCAGCTAACAGTGGAAACTGGGTAAATAATTGGGGTGTAAGCATTCATGAGTCAGTCAGACTATGCTGTGATGTCCTGCATCCATTCTTCTAGATTTAGAATAAGATTGTTTCTGAAATTTAATTTTGGAATATTCTACAGTGAAACAACATCTTGTCTAAAATATGAAATAAAAGTTTCATGTGCCTAAGAGCACATGAAGAGGAAAAGGTATTCCTTGGAAAACAAATTCTTCTGGCTTAAATGACCATGTTTTGAAAAAGATAGTATTCTATTTTAATTAATATTAAGTTGTTTTTCTGTTTTTACTTTTACACATAGACTTTGCTTACAGCAGAGGGAATGCAAAGAGAAGGCTCTTGGTATAATGCATAAATGTAGAGAGTTTGAAAATCATGTCTCTTCCAACGAGCCACGTGTGTGTATCTTAGGTGTTGAGGCTTCCAGGCATTACTTGGTAATTATACGTCAGAAGACAGAAATTCAGTTTTATTAGTGAGTCTTAATTAAGGCAGATTCATCAGAAAGTTTCAGTATATGTAATGTTATATGCAAAATTAAGCCTAACTTACATGCTTTCTGCTTTTTGCCTTGTTGCATGGAGGCTTCTGTGTCCAAAACAGTCTAAAATAAGACTCAGAAAAAATTATGGCAAGTCTTAACTATCTGATTGATAATATGTTTTTGATGGCATTATATGGAAATTATATGTATCTACTTGCTACGGTGTTTTTGCAACTCTAAGCAATTTTTTAAAGTGTCTTTTTTAAACTCTTACTAGGTTTGCAGAAGACTAAGCAGTGTCCAGCTGCATGGTATTATCTAGCAGAGGCACAGATGAAGATCCATGAACACAGGAATGCTGTCCTGTCCTGCAATCAAGGTAACTAACTGCCTGCTACTTTAAAGAACAGTTCCAGTGCTGCCCTGCTTTATGTAGTCCAGCCAACTTGGCCTTGGTATGGTAGGTCTGAGTTAGCAGTAGTCACAGTCCCTTGCTTCTTGCAGTCTCAAGCTTGTGTTGTCTCTCTTGGTTTATGAGAGCTGAAAAGCACCTTACGGTGCTTAGTCTCAGGAACAGAGAAAATACTTGGCTAAGTGGATCCAGAAAGCTGTCTGATGGTTAATATTTGGAAGGTTTACGTTTTCTGCTGTGCTGCTTCTGCTGGTGGTTGACCAATGCTGGCAAATGACAGATTGCCTGAAACCACAAGGTAGATGTCACAAATATTTAGCCTGGCAGATAATCATGTTTTAACGTGAAAAACAAATTTTTAATCAAATTAAGGTAAAACACAGAAAGGATGTGTAGTATAGCTGCATCTGAAGAAACTCACTGAGTGTAAAACTTCATCTGTGCTAGCTGGCAGCGAGGGCAATTATTGCCATCTAGGATGCATATCTCAACTGAACAGGGCCACTCTCTGGTGGTTATAAATGAAGGGGCAGCTGAAGTGGACTTCTTTTGTGGCAGGGGGAAATGCAGTGAAAAGTTTTTAAGAAAGGCTGGAAGAAGTAAAAGAAGCCAAACAGACCTGGCCAAACAATCATGGGAAATCAAGCAAAAGTACTTACTGGTGAGGGGAATTCAAAAGACCTATGAACTTGGGTGGAGGAAAAATGAAAGCTAAACAAAATAGGTAAAAAAGAAATTTATTGGTGAAAGAATGAAAATTCTTTGGGGGGGAAAGTTCTTTTCCCATCTGTGTTAAGTGTGGAAGATCTCAGGGTGACTTTGTACCGTGACTCTTCTTTTCAGCAGACTAACAACTTGTCTATGATTACAGTGTTAACAACGGCATGTCTAAAACAAGACAAGGAAACATAGCATTAAGGAACTATGAGATACCAACTTAGGAATTGACTGAGATGAAAATACTGAAGTTTTAAGGGGTTCCGTAATTGATTACTGAAACTGTCTTGGCACCCAAATACTTGAAAATAGGTGGCGTGGCTCTGAATTTTAAAAAGGAAAGTTGAGGGAAAACACTGACAGGTCTGGTGTATTTAGTGGTTGAAACAGTGTAAACTGAAACAGTAGAGTTAAAGAATTTATGTAGAAAAATGTTTTGGGGTAGACAGCATGGCCTTTTGAGAGTTGCTAATTTAGAACTCCTTCAAGGAGCTTATGAGCTCATAAATAAAGGAGGTTTCCAGGTGGTAATTGGTAAGATCCCTTACTTGATTGTTAGTAGCCTTGGGTTAAGAAGCAAAGCTGTAACTTTGGGTTTTTTCTTAGAAGTTAAAAGGTAGAGCACAGTATAGTAATTATGTCTGTTTTCAGACTGGAAGGAGGTATCCCTGACATTTTCCCTGATACCTGTGCTGTTTATGAATGCTGAGTAATAGGGTTATAGTTTGCTGCTATGTAAAGTAGACTGCAAAACTTTGAGATGTTTACCAGAGTGCATAACTGAGTGTCAAGACTGTAGAATTTTATTCATTATTTTAAATGCAGAATAATAGAGTTGTGGGAAGAAGTGTTCTCACAAAGCTACCCTACACTCTCACTGAAGAAAAGTGCAGAAGGTCCTCATTGGGTATGAAAAAATAGGACTGTTTCTTTCCCCTGGTGTGCTTTACAGGCAAGTCAAATATTAGCAATTTCAGAGAAGGAAATGGTTAGTGAAACATACCATCAACACACAGTAGCTTTAAGAACTTCAGCAGCTTAATAAAATCCCTGTGTAGTTTTGGTAACTATCTACTCCATCTCAAAAAGAAAATAAGAGTAGAAGTTAATAGACTAGAAGTGAGGTTGGTCACATGGGCTAAAAACCGCAACATATGAGAACAAGTAAATAATCTGTCAAGTCCTTTTCTAGCCTGGAGAAGAGATAATTTTGAACTCTGTGAAGATACAAATGATGTGGAATATAAATAAAGATTGAGTGTTTTGTTTTCGTATGTGAGGTCTGCCTAGTGCCAAATGCAGCTAAAATTTCAAGCTCAGAGCAAACAAAACAAGTTTTGTTTTTCAATGCAAAAAGTTAAGTTCCTTGCTGAAAGGTGCTGTTGATGCAGAAATTTCTCTTGAGTCCAAAACGTGTAGAAAGTCAGAGATAATTTTGGGAAAACATTGCTTTTTACTTGTCCTGTCTTAGTGACTGTATCAAATGAGACAACAGCTCATTGTACATGAAAATAAATACAATTAATTGAGTTACGCAGGAAGTTCTTGCCTTTGGAGAGTGGTGATGCTCAACAGAGATGCCTTCCATCTCTGAGGTGAGATGATACTGTGTATTCAAAAAGTAATTGGAACTCTAGGGAGGGTTACTTTGTAACTTTTACAGGCATCAACGTAAATCCCTGTTTTCAGTAGTATTCTTTCATTTGAACACTGAAATGCGGAACAATTTGTCTGTTGAAAGGTCGTTTTTTCCTTAGAACTCTAATGAGCAAAATTATAGCGCTTAATTTTTAAAGCCAGCAGCTGAAAAGCAATCAGTATACATACATCTGAGATGACCTCCTAGAATTGACTTAATTGTTATACTTGAATGAATAGAAATTTTACAGGACAATTTGTTATTTGTGGGGAGGGCAGTCTGAATGCCTTCTGAATTAGGCAGAAAAAATGTAGTTAACAAGGTTTTAGAAATATTTGGAAGAATGCTGCTCTGCGTACTTCTTCTTTTCTCATTTAACTTGATGAAAGGTTCTTCTTGTCAACAGCTCTTGAGGCTCTTGGAACTCCTGAGGGTCCTAATCTTCAGTGGAAGAACCTTGTCTTTCAGTTGAAAGCAGAGACTTTGATTAAAATAGCTGATGCTGATGCTGCAGAAGAAGCCATAAAAGCACTTGAGCAGGTATTTTTATTGACCAAAATGTTTGGCGTTTTTTTAATATTACAAGGTGCCCTTATCTTTCTGTACTTAAGGTAAGTATTTCTACCCTGGCCTCCTTTCAACTTTGTGGTTTAGACCATTCCTACCAGCTGTCATGTAATTCAGACATGTCTTCCATTCCTGCTTTTCCAGGCTTTGCTGCAGCTCTTTTTCATTTGCAGTTCTAATTTTGGAAGCTGTCACTTTTGACTTTGCCTGGTCTTGCTCACTGTTGCTGGTTCTGTGCTGTTACCCATCTTAATTTGAATTCATGTTATAATCTCCCATGTCCATCATTCCCTTGTGATTAGTCATGAAGAAAAACACATTACTTTAAGATTGAATGGTTAAGCTTTGGCAGAAGTTGCTTCCCCCTGTTTTTGTCACACAGTTTCATTCTTTGTTGTTCTTCATATTTCTGCACCTTTGTCCTTACAATCTTCTACTTGCTCTTTATCAGAATTGTCCTAAATTTTCTCAGGGGTAATAGAGAAAACTTGTAAATGCTTTCTTGTCTTTATCTTCAGGCAGTCTGTCTGCTTCTAACAACTTTGACTTCTTAATGTGGGGAGATAATACATTAATTGTGTTTATTATTTGGTGTTCTAGATTGTAGATGGAACCAGTGATCCAGTGATTTCAGCTCTCAGGGGTCAGGCTTATCTGAACAAAGGTTTAATGGATCAGGCTTCAAAGGTTAGTGATTTTTATCATTCCTGTGAGCTAAGTACAGTTCTTGGTTTCATAGAGGAAGTAACTAGAGAAAAATGGCATCCTTTTGCAGGTTTCACAAGAGCTTCTCTTGTCCCACCCTGATCTGGCTGAGGCCCATGCTCTAGAGGGTTTCATCCATTATTCCCAAAAGAACTATGAGCAGGCAGAAAAAAGGTAGACTTTTGTTTTCTTTCCTCTAACAGGGAAGTGTTATGGAATAGTAAAATGTAGTGTTTTGCAGCTTTTGGGAATTTGTCTGACCTGACCTGTTTTCATTTTATTTAGTTTTCTACATGCTATTGAAAGAAAGGCTGGAATTGCAGAGTATCATCAGTACCTGGGGCTCACATACTGGTTCATGAGTGATGAGACAAGAAAAGACAAAGGAAAAGCACTCACTCAGTTCTTGAAGGTAAAGACTCCTTTAACTGTTGATGTAGAATTAGTGTTTTCCTACATCAGAAGCCAAATATGAAAAATATACTGACAGGAATGAGAAACTTGAATATTCTCCTTTGTACAATGTATGAGCCTCCAGAGCCTGCAAACTAGGTTCTGCTGTGCAAAAAGGCATTGCAGGGAGCTGTGCAGTTACCTTGAATCTCTCCACTTCTGTTTTCCTCTTTTCAACTAATTCTTTAGGCCTTTGAATTGGCAAAACTTAGTGGTGATTCCCTCAACCTTTTCTCCTTCCGGAAAGTGGAGGCCTCTGGACAAGCAGCAAATGTCTTTGAAGACCTTTTGAAAGGGGGAGGGCAGAATTCAAATTGAAAAAACATGAAGGAAAAAAAGTTGAGAATGGTGTTAGGGTTTCATTGTCTGTCCAAGGATGGAAGTTGGTAAAGCCCCCTAATTTATATGCTTTTCCTGATCTTTGGGATTTTAGTAATTGTGGCTTTTTCGCTGAATAACATGAATTGAAAAACTTTAGTTTGACATCTGTGTTAGTAACTTGAAAGTGTACAAAATAGAACTTTAGGCACTGTGAACTCATCATGTAACTTCATGATAGGTATTGATAACTCAAATTATTACCTGCTGCTTGCACTTTAATAAACAGCTGAGTATAGTGGCAAATGTAGTTGAACAGTTCTTTTGGTTCTAAACCATTATATGCAATCTTTATTATTATTGACAAAGCTGTTTTCTGCTGCTTGAAGGCTGTCAATTTCTTAACTATAAGCAAATCTGCCAAATGCATCTAAGAAGGAACTGAAACTTTAGACATGGATGGAGTTAGTTCTGGTGTTATATGGTAAGAGTATGAACATAATGATTGAAACAGAGTAGAAGATGAAATAAAGATTTACTTTCTCCTAGCACAACTATTTTAGTACTTTGAGTACAAACTGTTTTGTATCATGGGATTTGTAGCAGATTTTCCAGATATTTAAAGCTCAGGTAATCGGTGCAATTTTATAATAAAGTTTGGGAGCTCAAATATATCACAGAAGGGGCTTAAAAATATGATAAGCAGAGGCTGAACAAGTAGCTGTCACTGAACCTGTCTATGAGTATAATCCTTTAGAATGCTGTCTGATAGTGTGTTGGTATTTCCTTATAGGCTGCAAAATTGGACAGCTACTTGGGAAGTGCCTTTTGTTATCTAGGTAACTACTACAGAGACATTGCTGGAGACAAAAGCAGAGCTCGTGGTTGCTATAAAAAGGCTTTTGAACTGGATGAGACGGATGAAGAATCTGGAACAGCGGCTGTCAATTTAAGTGTGGAACTTGGAGACATGGTATTGTACATTCAGAATGTCAGATTACTGCTGCTTTGTTGTTCTTCTATTAATCCTCCTTTTTAAAGAATCACTTCAGGTTTCCTCTATATTTAAGATCAGAAAACAAATGTTCTGTCATTGCTTAGCACCTTTTATAGTTGGGCTTGCTTCAATTTTATGTTCCAATTCCAAATTAAATTTGTCTTAGGAGAAGGGTGGGAGAACCAAGTATTACATTAGGGTCATCACGTGTGATATAGATGAAGCATTTTTTTCAGTAGGGGGCATAAGGAGAAAGTTGGGGATTTTCTTTATTTAGCTTGTGTAACTTCTTTTTTCCATCCTTCACCTTGCTGCTTTAGAAAGTTATAAGAATATTTTTAAATGGTTTTTGTTTACTAACTTGGCATTTATTGCTTTGTTAGGACACTGCTTTGTCAATCTTGAATGAGGTAACTGAAAAAGCGAGACCTGGTACAGCAAAATGGGCCTGGCTTCATCGTGGACTTTACTACTTGAGAACTGGTCAGCCGTCACAAGCAGTGGCTGAGTAAGACAACTGGTGGTTGGTTTAAGTCCTTTTCTACCAATCCCAATAAAATAGTCTTTGCTCATAGCAAGTTTTCAAATTAAGTTAGGTGATCATAACTTGTACTTAACAAAGGGAAATGGGTCTGAGTGAGTCTCTCTTCAGTTCTAGAATTCACAGAATGTAGTCTTGTTAACATAGCAGTGTTTTGTACTAACAAGCTTTGTGACAAGCACAGACAAGCTGCTATAGCACTGAATAGCTGGGGCGAGATACAATTCCTAAATTGTGTAATGTCCTCTGAAGATGAAAAACCTACTATGCTTTGTTTAAAAGTTCCATGTAATTGTGAATTTGTGTCCTGAAGAGTATATAATGCAAAATTAGTGTCCTGAGCATATACAATGAAAGGAAATAATTATGTTGAATTGTATCATATTTCATTTAAATAAATGTATGTCTTCATATCTTCAGTTTGCAGGCAGCTCTCAGGGCTGATCCAAAGGATTCCAACTGCTGGGAGTCTCTAGGGGAGGCTTACTTCAACAGAGGTAGCTACTCAACAGCTCTGAAATCCTTCAGGAAAGCAAGTGAGCTGAACCCAGGGCTTGTGTACAGCATTTACAGAGCTGCAGCACTTGAGCAGATTCTAGGCAAATACGAAAATGCTATAGCTACCTATCAACAAATACTAAAGAAGACAGAAAACTATGTGCCTGCACTGAAAGGTATTATGTCTGAATTTGAAAGTGTTCACTTTTCCTCCCTTTACACACTGTAGTGTTTCAGTCTTTTGGAGGAATTTTTGATGTATTGAGGTTTTCTTGTGGTGTGTTGAGGTTTTCTTGTATGGAAGGATACAGTTGTATTTTGGGTATGTAGGGCCATGAGGTTCCTCGCATGAAAGTTGATTTGTAGTATTACAAATTCCTGAAAAACTCTTAAATTATGATGAATGTGAGTAATTATTTCTCTTTCAAGTAAGTATGAAAGGTAGTTAATTCTATGTGGCTACCAGGCCAAATGAGTAGGAGAACTGAAGAGACACAGAGGAAGCCCACTAACAGGGCTGCAGTTTTACCTAAGCTGTAAAATACTGGCTCAACAGGCAATGAAATCAGACTGCCATTTCAAAGAGGTGGGCTGATTTCCTTCTGCTCCTGACCATGCATTCCTCACTTCTTGTGTTAGTCTAGTGATTCAGACCCCTCTGAACTTTTTCAAGTGGTGAAAAAGAGCAGTGAATCCCAAGAGATCTCACAAGCATTACAGGTGGCAGGGGTAGAGACCTTCAGGATATAGGTAGGAGTAGAGAGAAATGGAGCAATTGGAACTTCTTCATTATGGAACTGTGATTCTGAAGTTATATAATGCAGGGAGTGTATAAAATTTTGATAAAAAATGAATAATTGCTCTGTTTGCGTTCTCCCTGCCACTTAGTTTTCAATCATTCTCACCCCATATACCAATCTGAAGCAGGTGCTGCTTGATGCTAGTTTGAATTTGTAATTATTTTTTTCATTGTATGTAAGGCCTTCTGGTTTCTGGATGAATCTAAACTGATTCTTGGAAGAGTTAATTCAGAAATGTAGAGTTATTATTACAACAGTGGGCTTTTAATCTGAGAAAGTTACAGTGTGGTTGACTTATGTACCTCCTCCTCTATAACTCCACTAGTTTTTTTCAAGACCAAAGTGACATGGTAAAAGCTCCATAATGGAGTTGGAGTGTATTGCATTTAGGTAGTTTTACTAGTTGTTGGGCAAGAAGGGAAGAGCTGACTGTAGCAGCAGTTTGCAAAGGTGCTGTATGTCCATATGCGTATGGTTTTTTCGGTGTCTGTAGGTAACAGTTGACAGTGTTACTAGTACTAAAATGCTTTGAGTGCTTAAGTACATGGTATCAAGATTCCTCCCCATAGTTGCCTTTATACTGTTTTCTTACACCTCCTGAGTCTTCTTTCATAAAGGCTCACATTGTAATCTCTGGTCTGTTAGCTGTAAATCCTTTTAAGTCTCCAAACAGCCTTCACTTTCTTTGAGACTTCTTATGATGTTTGGACCAATGTTGTAAATTTTGTGGACCTTCTTAAAACTCTCTGAAGTTCTTTGACTGTCCCATCAGTGTTTATTTTCAACGTTTCTGATCCATTTGAACAGTTTCTGAGTTGAGCTGTTGGAAGTATACTCTCTGGTAGTTGAGTCAATAACTTTACTGGTGTTACTTCACTGCATCTTTTCAATGTGTTTTGATTTTGTGTTACGGAATACTTATTCTGCCTCTGTTCTAGCGTATCTTTCATGTAATTTTGGGGAATAAAATCAATTTTGTTTTTTGATCTTGACATCTGGTAAGCTTATGATCTTGATCTTCTGGGAAGCCAAGATAAAGACTCTTGCAAAACTCTATTTTGGTATAGGTGGAGTATTACAATAGCATGAGGAGGGTAGCTTCAGAACTGTCAAAATAGGCTGAGAATGAATGGTACTCATATCCAATGATTTACGACTGGACAGAATCACTGCTAGTGCCAGCAAATGTGTAAACCAAGCAGTTGCTATTTCCAAAATGTTAGAAATTTTAACCTATGATGCAGTTCCTTTTTCATAGTGGGAATTATTTCCAGTTGGGGTGGTTTGACCCTGTCTAGGCATCAGCTGCCTACCAAGCTACTCTGTCACTCCCCTTCTCAGCAGGATGTGAACAAAAGACAAAATAAGATTGAAGAAATTCATAGGTCAAGATAAATGTGGTTTAATAAAGCAAATGCAGAGGCCACATGAAGAAGCAAATGAAAATAAAATTTATTCTCAACTTCCTATGAACAGGTGATGTCCAGCTACTTCTCATGAAGTAGGACTTCAGTCTGCCTAGTCATTGCTTCAGAAAACAAGTGTGATAACAAGTGCCCCCCCCCGCAATCTCTTCCACATTTATCTCAGCTTTTATGCTGAACAGATAAGGATGTGGTATGGAATATCCCTCTAATCAGTTTAGGTCAGCTGTCCTGGCTATGTCTCCTCTCAGGATTCTGACTATCCCCAGCCTAATACTAATGCTGAAGGAGCGAATGTTGTATAGACTGCCTGGATGCTGTTCCAAACACTGTTCAGCAGCAGCCCAAACACTGGTTCCTTATCAGCACCTTTCCAGCTACCAGTACATAGCACAGCACTATGAGGGTTCCTACGGGACAAGTTAACTCCATCTCAGCCAGATTCAATGCACCATATGAAGTAAATTCATATATAAATAGAATTAAATAATGCTGGCTTCAGGTTTTCTTCATTGAAGACTTTCCTTTTTGCCTACCCTGTCATTCTTTATTCCTTTTGTTTCTCAGGATTGATTTTTTCACACATGTAAACTGCAAATTGGTGTATTTGTCAAAGGTGTAACAATGCAGATTTCTCAGATTTACTTAATATTTGAAGATAAATGCAAAGTTTAAATGCTATTTTTAAATAATGAATTTGGTTTATTTTAATAGCCAAATGATCCTACAGTTCACACTTCACAAGATAGATGAAAAGCAGTCTTTGTTGGGAGCATTGTGAGTGTTTTGATTTTGTTACAGTGTATGCAGGGTATAGACTTTTGCACAAGGCAGAAATGCTGACCTGGCTTCCAGGCTCCTTCCCCACTGTACTTTTAACCATATCATAAAAGCATTTATTTTCACAGAGAATATTTTCTCTTACTTTCAGGACTTGGTGAGTGTTATCTCATGCTGGCAAGATCAGCCCTTGATAACTATTTCGATAGGAAGGCTGTGGATTACATAGAACAGGCCCTTGCATATTTTACAAGGTTGGTACTAAACATTCACTTACTTAATTTCTGCTGGGATTGTGGGTTGACAGGCAGAAAAAGAAGAGTTAAATTTTTAAATTTAGTTAAAAATAAGAGTTTGAAAATTTTCAGTTAGACTGAATCAAATGGACTAGAACTTCTAATCTAGAAGTAAGAATGTGTTTATTAAAAATGGTTTGAGTAACAGATTCTAAACATAGGCTGCTTAAATGAATGGCAATTACAGAGTTTTATGTTTTTCTTTTCAAATATAGAGAGTCATTTGAAAATGTGTGAAGTGACACAGAGTTCTCTTGTGTAGTCCTGCTGATATGTGGATCTGGGAGGAGTGTATTCCTACAAAAATAATGGATAAGAGGAAAATAATTCCTTCCTTCTCTCAGTCTTTTTATTTTGAATTTCATACAAGATGTGCTAAATTAAACCTTGGAATAACTGCTGTTAGAGGAGAAAGTCCATCAAGTTTCTGCAGATGAGTAGTGTCTTTTAATATGACAAATGCAAGAGTGCACGTAGTCAGCTGACATGTTGGGGTGTTTTTGTTTGGTTGCTTTTTATTGTTCTTTCTTTTCAAATTTTGATCTTTTAGACTTGTAACTTGAATAGGAAGAAACTGAATTAAATCAAACACCTTACTGATTAATTGCATTTGAGGTTGTACTGCTATTCAAAGTGGTACTTTTATTCAGAAAAGGATGTTGAAGTATCTGAGTAGGTGTTACATGTGTTTTCTTTATAATTGTAGGGCAGTAAAGCACCGTCCTGATGTATCTTGCCTCTGGAAACTGTTAGGAGATACCTGTACTAGTGTACATGTTATTTCACCAGCCAAAGTGAATGTTCAAGTACTAGGATCCCTTCTGAGTAAAAATGCAACCAAACAGGTGCTAACGAAAAATGAGCTTCTCATACTGGGAGGAAGGTAATATTCTTTTATTGTTAAGAGCTTCTCTGCTGTTTAAGACTCCATAGAGTCTCAAGTATTCTAGACTATTTAATTTGTAGAAAATAGAAGACATGCTGGTCTGTTGATACCTGCATATTGGGTAAATGGATTCTCATGATTCTTCCAAATTACACTACTTATTTCAGGATATGTTTCCTGTATTGCCACAGTGCTGTCAGCACCTGCTCTTCTCCTTTCTGTCTCCAGGTGCATGACTACATTCTCCCTGCTGTTCCACAAATCACATCTGTTTAAATGCAGCGGTTGTGGTATTTGCTGACTAATTCTCCCAGGACAATGGAAGTCTAAGATAATACTTCCAGCTTTCTGTCTGTGCCTCCTTCTTGTAAAAAATTTCTTGTGACAAATTTGCTGTTCTGTGACTCCCTCTAAAATTTTTTCAGCTGGATCTGTAAGGCAGGAAATGCATCTGCTTGGTGAATCTTAACCATGATCTGTAAAGTCCAGTACTTCCTAGGAGAAGCCTGAGGAACTGTAAAAATGATTGATGGTTGTTTTAAGTAAACGCATGCATAATGTAACTGACAGAGCTTTGATTTAATACACACTTACATAACCACACCTGTGGCTTCATTAGTGGTGAGCACTACAGATTACCCTTAGACCAGATTCAGACACACAATAAGTGTCTGAATGAAAATATATTAGTTGGGGTTTTTTGCTTTAAGTCCTTGTCTGGTTTTGTTTGTGTTTATGCATGTTTACTTCGTTTAGGTTTCTAAGCACTCTTTTGAAGCTTTGTCAGCTTTCTGCTCTTCGTGCAGAGACTCGGAATAATGATTCTATGATTCATGTTTCTGTAGGTGTTATGGCAGAGCTTTAAAACTGATGTCTTTGCCAAGCATATGGTGTGATCTTGGAATAAATTATTATCGCCAAGCGGAGCACCTCACAGCAGTGGGCACTGACATGAATGAGATCAGTGAACTGTTAGAGAAGTCTTTGCAGGTATTGCCTGTATTTCCTAGTACATTCTTTAAACTACTGTTCATGTTTCTCTGCATATTCTCTCTGTACACAGTAAAACCTACATCTCTGAATAAGTAAGTGCATAAAGTCATAATTTTTCCTCTCCTAATCATTATAATCCACATTTCATTTTCTTCCAGTGTCTCAAAAAAGCTGTGAGACTTGACAGCAAAAATCATCTTTATTGGAATGCACTTGGTGTAGTTGCTGCTTGTAGTGGTAAGTCTTCAGTGACAGCCCTAGATCTCTAACATCCTAAATTAGAAGGAGGCTTGACTAATGCTGTTTTGAAATTGAGTTACATCTAGGTCTCCATTTTTTTTTTCTTCCCCCAGCTATTGGGAATTATGCTCTTGCACAACATTCGTTCATCAAATCTGTTCAAGCTGAGCAAATTGTAAGTGCTGTAGGCAGCTGCCATCTGTTTCAAGTGGGCATTTAAGACATTTCCCCTGATGCACTGCTATTTCTGAGGAGTGTAATAATATATTGGTTTTAACTTTACTTGTTTTGTTTAGAATGTTGTTGCTTGGACCAACTTGGGGGTTTTATATCTGGCAACTGGAAACATTGAGGTAATCTATTTCCCATCCTCAAGTATAGTTTTCCTTTCTGTTTTTTTTTTTAAGGGTGTATATATGGGAATGGGAGTGTCAGTTTCAAATGTCCCTTTGAAATTCGAAAAATATACATCCTTCAAAAGAAATTGGATTGGCACTTGAGAAATGCAGATAAATTAAAAATTTTTTCTGGAGGGGCTAAGATTAGGTGAATTGTGAACTTCTGCTGAATTGGCAAAACTGCTTTCCAACAGCTGGAATGAGAACTTAATGGAAGGACAGAGAAGTGGTTAGTCAAATCAAGGCATGCCAGGTTTGGCCAAGAACTTCTAGTTGTAGGTCATGGACTGAACTCCCAGTGTTTGAGTTCCCATAGATACCTACTTTCTGCTCATCAGCAAATGTATGATTTACTGTAACACACTAATTTTCAGAGTTTCTCTGGAGAAAAATTTGACTTCACATATTAAGTGAAGTCTGGAGCTCTCATGCAGTTAAAGTACATCCTGTCCTATTTGCTCGTTGAAATTACAGAAATCTTGTTTGATTGGAAATGTGATGGTCAAAATTATTTTTAAGAAAAATAACCTGATAGTACAGACTGCTTATTGCTAAGACTGCTAATGCTAAGACGTGGTTCCCCTTGTGCCAAATTGAGGGAGGAACTCTTAAGCATGTGTAGGCTATAGGGAAATGACTTGTGGATGATAATCAGTTTTATTCTTTTGAAAATACGTTTGTATTATAAAAAAGTGAATTTTCAAAACTGGATCTTCCAAGAGTCAGATTTTTAAATTGTTCCAATTTTAAATTGTTCATTTAGCTTTTGAATTCTCTAGCTGGGAAAGAAGCATATTTAGAAGGGAGGGAAACTTTGATATTGTGAAGTTTTCTAATTTTTTTTTTGGTTTGTGTTCTAATTTTTTTTTTTTGTTTTCTTTAAGACTAAACTGGTTTATTTCTCTGGGCAATGCGTTGTTCTCTGTGGAACAGAAAGTGTTTTTAGTAGTGACCTAATTCAGTCCATTAAGTCTCTTCTAATACTATTGCATGTTAATACTTGTGTGTAGTCAGAAGTGCTCTGTTACCATACCAGGCAGTTCAACAGCAGTGTTTTATTTGGTTCTACAGCAAGCTCATGAAGCCTTCAAGGTAGCCCAGTCTCTGGAACCTTCTTACCTCTTGTGTTGGATTGGACAGGTATGATGAAAAATTATGAAACTGCACACAAAAAACATTTGTTGAAGAACCTTAACTTCAGCCTAGTAACTGGCACTAATTCATGCTCCTAAAAATTGTGTTTATGAGTGCTTCTACTTCCTTTGTTTCCATAGTGGTAATACAATGTAAGCTACTGTGTTCATCAGACACACTCTTATGTTGTTTTTCTGGCTGATATTGTGAGTTCTCTAACAAGCTATTAACCAAACAATCACTATGCTCTGAGGCTCTTTATAGACAGCTATCCACAAAGCACTGTCTTTATAAGGTGATAGTTATTTCAGCTTCAGCTGTACCACTAGTTCATTAAATGGCATGACCCAACTCTCATCTCAGTTCCCCCTTTCTAATGCTACTGTCAGAATAAGTAAGCTTCTAATGTACCTGGGACAAAGTACTTCTTATTTTCTGGGAAGTCCCTTCCTCCCCTGCCACTGATAGCTCACATGTTCCTTCTGATATCTAGGTCATTTGTGAATAGTTGAGGTACTTGTGGCTTTTATGATTGTTATAGGTGAATTTCATAATGCCATGCTGCTCACCTGCTAATGATATCTAATTGAAAACTGGATTCTAGAAAAGAACTAGCACCGTCACATGTTGAAATTCAGCTATGTTGTTATAAATTGTTCTAATACATGCAAGTCTTTGTTCTGAAGATAGAGCTAGCAGCCAAAGTTTAAATTACTGATACAGTGGAGACTGCTTGTGTTTTTCCTGAGTTCATTTTGGTTTTAAAACCAATCTTGCTTGTAGGCTACGAGAAAAAAGTGTGTTCTTGTTGAATGCTTTTGATATGCCTGACATAATATGAGCTAAGGTTTTTGTCATTGTCATAATTTTTAAGTACATGACCACAGCAGCTCTTGCTTCTCTCTAGGCTCTTATTGCAGAGACTGTAGGCAGCTATGATACCATGGATCTCTTCAGGCACACAACTGAACTCAGTATGCATGTAAGTGTAACAGTTGTATTGTTCTGAAGTTTTTGTACATCCAGTCTCTCTACTTAGGAGATTATTTTTTTAAAATAGGCGTGTCTTGAGTTTTGAAACTGCTACAGTCATGTTTCAAAAGAGATTGTATGACTTCCATGTTGTTGCTGACTTATGCTGATATTGTATAGCAGGCAGTTACTTTATAAAATTTTTTAGTCCCAAGGGTTCAAGAAATCAGCTCTTTAAGTCATGAATAAACATTCTCCCTGTTCCACAGAATTGGACATAGATCAAAGGCATAAAATATTTCTGGAGAGAGCAAGCATATTGCCAGGACCCTTTTTTCCAAAAAAAGTGGAGGACTTAGTCTTTCATAGCTTTTTTTTTTTTTGCCTATTGTGTGTACAGTCATGCAGCACATTATATGAAAATGTAAGAATTTGCTTTGCTCAGATGGCAAGTTAAAAGTATATGTGGAGGGATTCAATTTGGTGTGTTCTTCTGTTTAACACTGATGCAGATTTTTAGCCAAAACTCTGTCCTAAAACAAAGAATTAGTATTATTATAATCTGCAATTATTTTGCTGTATCTTGAGCGGGTTTAATGATTCCTGTTTTGGGGGGTGTCTCTTTGTTTCTTGAGACTGAGGGAGCAAAAGGCTATGCCCACTGGGTATGTTCAACGCTGCAGGATGAAGCCAACAGAAACACTGAACTGTATCTGTATAACATTGTTCAAATGAATGCTATACCAGCAGCCCAAGTGGTCTTGAGCAAATATACAGGTAGGTAATTTAAATGCCTCTCTAACCTGTCACACCTAACACGCATTCAGAAGGAATAAATACACCTGCACTAGTTCTAAACAAGAGAGGTCTGGCTGAGGTGGTGAGAGGCTTTTTATCTTAGACTAAATGAAACAGGGTAAGCAGACCACACAGCGATGAAATGGATGTGGCTTCTGTCTGCTTACTCCTTCTAGTTGTTTCAAATACCAACGAAAATAGGGACCAGAGCCTTGTCATGCTTCTCATAGGGTGTTTGCTCTCAGACTCCCTTTGCATGTGTCAGTATGTGCAGGTGAAGATAAGTGCCAGGTCCTCTGCCTCTGTGATGTGAAGCTTGGTGCACAGGATTGTTCCTGTGTGCTGTGTAACTCAATATTCACAAGCATATGATTTTGGTAACCTTCAGCAGGTGATGGACTCTGGTTTTGTGCATGATTCCAAACCAGCCTCCCTATTGGATATGTCTAGCCTGGAAAGCAGGTAGAGGAAATGCAGATTTTCATTAGTCTGCAAGTATTCCTGTAAAGAAATCATTTGGGTAATCTGTTGCTGACTTTTGAGAGCTAGAAAATATAGCTCACAGTAAATGAGACGTGAATGTGAGACTGTTATTTCTTTGTGCCTTGTTCTTAAGGGGACTCTAGAGAGTCTTCCTTCCTCTTCTGGGGAGAAAAGTTACTAGTCTGAGATGAATTGACAGCTGACAAATTTGTGCCTTAGCAATTACTTAAAAATTACTAATCTTGGAAGGGACCATAATGGTCATCTGGTCTTACCTCCCTGCTCGAGCAGGGATGTTCTACAGCACATTGTACAGAATTGTTTCAGAATGTATTAAGAATAAAACATAAGATTCTACTGGTATTTTACTATAGTCAATGCAAGATGAATACTTTCCCATTTCATTAAAAAAAATCTGCCTGCTGAAAAACTTAAAATATATTGAGTGCATTATGCATTAGTGTTACATCATAACATTTTAAACATTTTTCAGCCACCCTGATGTCATGTTTTGGGTCATCTGTCTCTTCTGTATTTGCCTGCAAGCAGGTCAAAATTATTCCCATGACCAGCTGACAGAAGCATTTGGCAAAGTGTTCAGTGCATGTACTGTAGCTTCAATGTAGCAATGTTTTTGTAATGCTTTTTCACAGCTTACTGATCTTGTTTTCCTACATTGTCAATTCTGACTTTCTAGAAAGAAATCCAGATGATGCTTCTGCTTTCACAATGTTTGGGTTTTTGAATGAGTATCTGGATCTAAAACAGCAGGCAGCCTATGCCTATGAGAGGTAAACTGTACACCCTTGGAAAGCTCAGAGAAGCTCCTTTTCCATGAACCAGCTGACAAACCTAACGGTTTTTCTTTTCCTTAGATAACCTTTACTTTCTCTGTTCAACAGTATATTTGAACTAAGTGTTTTGTAGGGTGGGTGTGTGGAGGTTCCTATATTGAATTTGGAAAGGCAGAACACAGAAAAGTAAAGATGTCCTAAGACTTGTATATCTTACCATTACATTAACTAATTCACTGTGTGTGATTTAAATGAAATTGAAGGAGAAAGCAAGCTTGGTTTTAGCTTTATTCTCTATCCCACTCTAGTTAATGGAGGTGGTTGGCCTTTGAGTTTGTTTTGGGGTTTTTTTTCTTCTCTCTTCTTTTCAAAGAGGGGAAGGTGGCAAATGAAACAGTATTTGGTGAACATATTTGTTGATACATTAAAACAGTAAAATAGGCTCTGTTTATGTTTAATTAGCATAGAAAAGCTTTTGTATAAAACAGTTATCCATTTTGCTCTGAAAACTGTGCTCAAAATATGCACCTTGTAGTGCATATGTGCACATGATAAGTAACATTCATTGTGGTTAATTTTAGGGCAGCTTCACTGCTGAAAAACTCAGAGGATACTGAGAAATACAATACAGCAATGCAAAACTATGGCAGGTCACTCTGGTAAGTGTGTGTTGACTTTCTGAGCCCCTAACTTCAGCTTTGGAGGTAGTGAATGCAGCAGTACAAAATATGGTGAGGCTTAAGGTGAAAGATGGTTGCTAAAAATCATCTATTAAACATTATTCCTAATTGGAGACAGGTTTGACTGAACTTTGTATTTGCCCCAGAAATGGGTAGTGTAATAAAAAAAAATCATATTGTAAGGAATTGATGTATGTCTTCACAGGCTATAGTGTATCAGTGATTCCCTTATCCTTTGCTTGGTACTAACATGTCATAGGGTAGTCTGTTATATTGTCTGCACAATAAGCTGTGGGATTTTTTTAAATGGTTTTTTTACAATCTTGACCCTTGAGCTGTGTAATAGGCTTAGTCTGAATAAAATTGCTGCTTTGAGGTTTGTTCAAAAGCCCTTCTATCTAGCCTTTGAATTTATATTGACTTTCACAACCTGAAGCATGTGAGGCTGGGGTGTTGTGTACCTGTGTGTGGTCTTTCTGCTGATGAATCTCTATACTGTAGTCCTACTCAGAATTCTAAGTTCCTTTCTGCTTTCTGGTTCTGAGGGAATGCAGGACTTAAGTATGTAGACTTTCAAATTTCTCATTGATATGAGATAGCTCAAGGTCTACTAATTAAATATTTGTCAGCTCCCTGGGGAAACCTCATATGTTATTGTATGGGACACTGAAACTTGTAACCTGTGACGAAGTGATAATTCATTTGCTTCAGGGAAGGTTTTAGAACCAACTCTTTAGACTCCTGAAATCTCACATCCAAGCTGTATGTCTGTTAGTTCATATGTGCAACTTACACAAGATCAAATCTCTAGTAACTGATAAGTAGTTCTAATAAATACAATCCTCTATTATTCTTTTCATAGTGGTCATAGAACAAGAATACTGTAATCTTTCTGTGTGTGCATTTTCCTGTCTGTGTGCATGATTTGCTTTTCTCCAAACAAATTCTTGATTTGCATTTTGCATGTTTCTCCTTTGCTGTTTTCTCCCCCTGCGCTGTGATGATCATTAAGTCATTTGCCTTATATATAGCTGTCATGCAGATATGGAGGACTTCTTCCCATCAGTTGTTCTTCATGCAACAGATAGCTGGAGAGAGTAACTGTTATACCGGGCAAAGGGTGAGGATTCCTGCACATTCTTGTCCTAATACTGCTCTTTTCTAGGTGTCTGTTTAAAACTGCTATGGAATAGAGGGCACTGGTCCTCAAGGACGGTTTGTCTGAATTATAGCAGCTGTTTCTGCATCCTTCCTACCAGTGACTGGGTGTTTTTTTTGCAGTGCTCTTGGGCAGTGTGATGAGGCTATTGAAGTTTACACATCAATACCCCTAACAGAGTTTGATGGCATTGTGGGGCTAGCATTAGCTTACTTCAAGAAAGGACTCTTAGAAGAAAGTATCAAAGGTAAAATTCAGAGCATTATGGAACACTTCTTTTGCAGTTAATCTTAACAAAATTTGTTGTCTAACCAACCTAGCTGACATTCAGTATTTTGCTCTTTTGGTCCTATTGTGTAAGTATAAATGCCACAACTATTTTAATACCTTGAGTACCATGTGCAGTTTTGGACACCACAATAAAATAAAGACATTAGGCTGTCCAAGAGCATCCAGAGGAGGGCTATAAAGATGGTGAAGGGTCTAGAGAGGAAGTCTTATGAGGAGCAGCTGAGGTCCCTTGATTTGTTTGGCCTGGAGGAAACTAAGAGGAGACTTCATTATGGTCTTCATACTCACGAGGAAGTGAAGGGGCAAGTACTGATCTCTTTGTTCTCACGACCATTGACAGGACTCTAGGAAATGGCCTGAAGCTGAGTCAGGGGAGGTTTGGGTTGAATATCAGAAAAAGATTTTTCACCCAGAGAGTGGTTGAGTACTTCAACAGGCTCCCAAGGGAAGTCATCACAGTACCAATGTTTTCTTCAGATCAAGAACCTTTGGACAATGGTCTAGGCACATGATGTGATTCTTCAAGTGTCCTGCGCAGTTGTACTTTGTGATGTGGATGGGTCCCTTCCAACTCAGCCTATTCTATAATTCTGTGAAAATCTATTAGTCCTAGTATCGCTCAAATGTAGTAAGGAAAAATAAATTTCTTCAAGTGTGGGATTCTTGTCCATTAAGCTGTTTTTCTCTGAGCCTCCCTTGTTCTCAAATTGTTTTTCTGGAAGAGTCAATTGTAGTGTAGAGTAGAAAAGACAGAGGTGATGTCATCAATATAAATGTCTCAAAAGCAGGTGTCAAGAGGCTGGTGCTAGCTGCTTTGCAATGGTGCCCATCAACAGGCAAGGCATGGTGGACATCATCAAAATACAGATTCCACTTCAACATGAGGAAGAACTTCTTACACTGAGGATGGCTCTGAAACAGGCTACACAATGAGATTGTGGAGTTTCTCCCCTCTGGAGACATTGAAAACCCACCTGCAAGGTCCTGTGTCACCTTCTGTAGGTGGCCCTACTGTGGTAGAGGTGTTGATCTCTAGAGGTCCTTTCCAGCCCTAATTATTCAATGATTCTCTCATAGGAGATAATTGTGGTGTTGAAAGCACTTTAGCTTTAGTGGTAAATATAATTGTACTGTCATGTTGCACGCTTCTGAGATGTGGAGCTTCATGAAAAGGTATATGCAGCAATCAGTGTAGAAGTGCTCACAAAGGAACAGTCAGCCCAGTGTTTTAAATAATTTTATTTTGTATTTGGAATGAGTGTGCCCATCTGAACTACTGTTTTGTAAATGAACTATCACAGGGTTCATTTTTACCATGTTCTAGCAGGAATTTTCTGAATGTCCCAATGCTGCTTTTCATTTCTGTTTCTACTTGCTATGTGTTAAACAACTCTCAGGCTCTAAAGAGTAAATCTGGTGTTTCCAAACATAGTTACTTCCAAAGTCTTAGTCAACTTACTTTTATCTTCTGCTTATGATTTGAGTTGGGAAAATACAGTGAACCTGAACCTAAAGTAGTCTCTCTGTTGTAATATCGTGCTATCCTAAAGTCTGTACAAATGTTGTGTTTTTTCTTCTCCCTCAATTAATTTTTACCAGCCTATGAAAAAGCGTTGTCTGTTGCTGAGTCTGAAAAAGATAAAGCACATATCCTGACTGCCTTGGCAATAATAGAATATAAACTGAACAAAGTGGATGCTGCAAAGACACTACTGTTTAAATGGTGAGTAGAGGGAATAATCAGAATGTGATATTTTGTTTTTGTGGAAACTCAGGTGGATATTTTCTTTGTGTATTGCAGCATAGAAGTGGAAATGGATGCAGTCTACTTATTCATTTGATACATCTGGTTTTATGGTCTGTTGCTTCCACTTTCTTAAAGCAGTGTTGAGTGGAAGGGCTGAGCAGTTTGGATGTCCAACATCCTTGAAGTTTTAAAAACTTTATCTTTTAAGATAATAGTACTTTGTAGTTGTTGTAAGTGCTATTTTTGCTCATTGTTTTTGCTCATTAGCTGTAAGAACTCTGAATGACCAGTGAAAATAGTTTAAGTAGTCAAAAATCTCAGAAACTATTGTATTCCCAGCAACGTAGACCAGGACAGCCCTGTACCTTTCCCATGAAAAGAAACAGATCTCTACTAGTTGTGCAATTAAGTGGTGAATGCCTGTTATTTTTCAAATCTGTGGAAGTCAAATCGCCTGTGCATCATTGTTAGCCTCCTAGCAGCTAGAAATTAAGTTACCATCTCACCTCCCAGGAGCAGCTCTCTGTCAGTAGAGAACTCTAGTAGTGGCAGTGCAGTGCCTATCAGCAGATTCCTGAAGTTACTAACACAGAGAAGGTCCATTACCTTTCCTGGAAGTGGTTAGTTGGCTAGGAAACTGATATTTCCTACATCTTATAAATCACTGCAGGCCTCTAGTTTTGTCAAAAACATGAACAATGAGAGTTTCTAATGACATTATATGTTTGTGTTTGAAAAAAAAAGGTAGTGAATGGCTTAGGAAAGAAACATCACAATGAATACATCTAGACTTGAATTGATAACAGTGCTACAAACAGATTTTGATGGATTTTACTAATAGGAACAAAAATCATGCATGCTGGTGCAGTAGATAAATGTTTCTCTTGACTGGAATTTGTGCTAGATGACTTGAAGTGCCCAAGTAGGACCTTGAACATGAAGCTCCTTGTTTCATTTCTCAAAACCAGCTTAACAGTGGATATGTCTGGATAACTAGTATGGTAGAATACCATTTCCTACTTGTCGAAGGGTCCTTTTGCTGGCTGTTCAAGTTCAATTAACAGCTTTTTTTTTTTCTCTTGCCAAGGACTGAAAACAAAACATAGAATCAGAAGCTTACATTCTTGTCTTTTTTTGAAGGCAAAAGTAATCATCAAGAGCTTGATTAGGTGCCTGTAACCTGGCCTTCAAGGATATAGATTTAGCCTGATCCAAGATCCCATAGAGAGTATTAATTCTGTATACCTTTCATGATACATAGGTGCAAGAGGACTCAAAAGTAACGAGCACTCTCATGTTATCAGGAAGCTTAGTTTGTGCTCCAAAATGGTTGTCTCTTTCCCTCTCTTTGATTCAACAGCTCATTAAAGGAACCTAGTACGGAAAGTCTGAAGGCTTTGTGCACATTGGGATTGGTAAAGCAGGATGCAACACTTGCAACAGCAGCCCTAAAAGAATTACTGAAGCATGAAAAAGGGAATGATGGGATTTATGAGAGGTGTCTCATTGCATCTGCTGTTTATGCATTACAAGGTAGAAATGTGGCAATCCAGAGGGAAGTCTCCAAAGCAATACACAGGTATATAGTTTGTCTTGCTTTAAATTGCTATGTAAATGTATTGCTTTGATTACATTGAAGAGTAAGCAAACCTGTTTCTTTGAATTTGAATAAATTTGAATTTGAATAAAAATTCATTTTCAAAGATGAAGTCCTCACCTAAGATTGTATCTTTAGCTGACAAGTTTGCTTTCTTATTTATGGAATCAGATAGCAGAAGTTTCGTAGCTCATTCAGTGTTTTCTGATTTTGTTTGGGGGACTTTTCTGATAGGTAGGTTAGTTTACTCTTCTGTGAAAGCATTTTTCATCCTGTGCAGCATAACCTTCAGCCTAGAAAAGTCCCATGGGTTTTTATTTAATACTTAGCATCCTTTGAAGCTGTTTCTTCCATTAGCTAAGTGTCTGTGTTTAAATTTGATTTGATTAGCCTTAGCATTCTGAGCCTTTCAGGAAGGCACACATTATAGTCTCTCCAAGGGTTTTCAGAAACTATTTTCATGCAATTGTTTTTTTTCCAACTACAACTAAAATTTCTTGTTCTTCATGCTATGAAGACAAGACCTGTAGGCCTAAAGTTTTTTTTCTTCCTATGAATATTTATATGCATGCTGTACATTTTATTTCTTTAGCTAGCAGTATAATTCCAATGTTGTGTTGTTTGTTTTTACCCATGTCTATCTTTTAATACACTGCATTGTATTCTTAATAGAAAAAGCTCTATTTGTATTTATAGCAAGTGCCTACTGAGTTCTGGAAGACCAGGTGCATATCTAAACCAGAGAGTTTAATACCCTTTTCTTTCCCTAGTTACCCTGATAATCCTGCCCTTTGGTCTCTTCTGTCTCGACTAGTTCCACTGTATGCATCAAAAAAGCCTAAAGTAAGTAAGTGTAATACACATGTGCTGTTTACATTCCAAGTAGTCTGTGTCGTTTCTTACCTGAAAAAACCCCACCCTTCAGTGTGTGGACTTGCCCCAGTTAAAAGGAAAATGTATGGCTTACATTCAAAGCAGTGCACAGCTACATACTGAATTTATATACCATTATTTGGATCTTCCATGAGGTAACCATTCTTGAAGCAAACTTAGAGGAGTGATCTGCTAGAATTATGCTAACAACAAAGGGCTATACTATGTATAATTATGTATAATTTCTTCCATTTAGTTTTATATAGATGTATATATTTAAATAAATATTTATATTAAGATTAACCTGTCTTTAATTTGGTTAATGTAGTCATCTTCACTTTTCACATTAGGCAGTGTTTCCTTGCCACTTTTCTGCTTATTATTAGTTTTCCTTCAAATAAATGCTTCTTGTCTTAATTTATGCTAATTATATAAACAGAAATAGCACCTGAAAAGAAACGCTTTTCAATATGGGGCTGAAATTAGAAATCAATCATATAGATAAACTCTAGTCTAGAATGTCTTTTGCTAATTTTTTAATAAAAAGATCATGCCATAAGCAAGGACATTGACTCATTGTGCAAATTTTGTACTTGTGAATAACAAAGATAAAATTATTTTGGCATTGTATTTTGCATAAAATTAATTAGCCATGTAATTAAATCAATTGTTTGTTTTTTTAATCTTGCAGGGAGGAGCTGTGGCAGGAAGTGTTGCACATACACTTGATGTAAACTGTGGAAAGGTTTGACTATCTTAAAATGCAGATTTTGTAATTCCATAAACAGTCCTAAAATTACTTCTGTCTGATCACTTACACTCTTGTGTTCTTTTTATAGGAAGTCCTGCTGAATATCGCAGTTAATCAGTTGGTAGCAGGATGTCACATGTTAGAAGATAAGAAAAACAATCCTCTGAAAAATATTCAGAAGGCCATCCATGTCTGTCCAGGTTACTCCTGTTCTCAAACACAGTAGTGATTGTTTGTCTTTTTATCCATCAGAAGCAAAAATTACTGGATTAAAATAAAATCTGCTTTTGCTGGGTTGATTTGTTGTTTAGGGTTATCCATGTGTCTTTTGGGGAAGATGCTTAGAGTGGAAATTGTCACTTTTCTTCCAAATTTAGTGGTATGGGAATTAAGCCAGACAATAAGAAAAATATCACTGAGTTTTAAGGCTTGTTCTAAACCATGAGTAATTTCTTAATCACTCAACAGGAAAAGACATAAGTATTATTTAGTATACTAGATAAATTGAAAAACATATGTTCCCTCAGTATGCAGCACCAGACAGAAGAGAATTATTCATCTCCCTTGAGATTTTTTATTAGAAAGGTTCTGTTAAAATGTGTGGTTTATGAACTACAGAGTACTCTATGGTTGTATTACTAAATAGTCTTCTTCCTATAGCATATGAAGTGCAAGCCTGGTGGGGTTTTTAGTTGCTAATTTGTACTTGATAGTGAAATACTAAAACATTGCTTCTTCTAGAGTAATTTTGTTCTGATGCACAGGGCTGGCTTGCAAGTTCAAAATGTCAATTACTTTCCTACAGGAAATATGAGTGTATGACTGCTGTTTAAAAGCAGTATACTTTACATTTTACTTTGTTAGATCTTCAAGCTTTGTTTCATTTTGCCAGCAAAAATAATTATTTTATGGATGAAAATTTAAATAAATAAAATCTTTAACCAAGCTCTGTCCAATTCAGGACAGAGATTGCTCTTACAGTAGTAGGTGTTCTTCACAGCGCTATTTAAAGGTGAAGCTGACAGTGGAAGTAGGCACCTATTGCTATAACTTTCATGCTGGTGGGCAGAACAGACTGAGTCTGCCACTTTGTGTTTTGTTACAACTCCTCAGTGAAAGCCAAGATTAATCTGTGTAGTGAAAAATAAATTGGCAGCTTCAGGTTAGCACACTGAAGATATCTGTGAAAAATACATTAGCTGGCTTTAAGAACAGCATCTTCATTTTATAATCTGATGTGTCTTACTAGTTAGAAGCAAGTAGTTATCACCTTCCTTGGTTTAAACTCAATTACTTCTCTTATTTTTGGTATCTTATTTACAGTGTATGGTTCCATTGATAGGTATGCTTTTATGCTTTCTCTGATAAATCCCATTCTAAGTGAACTACCAGCATGTTTAGAATGGGCATGAGTTCCCTTTTACCATTCTTTTCTAGATAATCCTGTTGCTTGGGCAGTGCTAATGGCAGCCTGTCATGCTGAAAACACTGTTGTCTGTCTAAACAACACTGAACCGAAACGAACAGGCCTAGAGATGACACTTGTGTCTACAGTTTCAGCCAAAAGTAAGCTATATGAGTTTCCTGCTTAAAAAAAGCAAAATAAAATTGGAATTATCTAAGCTTGCAATGCTGTTCTGAACTTGCAAATAGGCTGAGGAGTACTCAATAGTGTTAATTACACAATAGCTGTAATTGTATTTTACACAAAAAACCCATTAAATTCTGATATATAGATGGGTTTAGATATTTAATGGCAGCTTGCTTTCCCCTCCAAAGCTTCAAACAGTTTTGTGAAATAGTATTTCTGAACTCTGATGCCTATACTCATGAAGGTTGTGGATGTATTACATTGGAGCAGGAAAAGGCTAAAGTAATTTTGAGTTCTGTAACTCTTCCAATAGGTGCTCATTCCTGCTGAATGCCCATAGTGTTTTGAAAACTGGAATTAAAATTCCATGTTTGATTGATCTCAAACGATTAACTCAAATGGTGTATGCTTATTTCCCCTCTTGCTTTTGATTTTGCCATCTTTCAATGTTCCTACTGATAAAGGGAGCCATGTCACATTAAAACTCATAAAAATTCTCCCTTACCAGATCTAGAGCCTGTGACCATGGTATTGTACTACAGCATAAATACTAATCTGTTTAGGTGTATTGTCTGTCTTTACAGCTGGAGAAAGTAATCTTCCACATAATTATGTCCGTACTCTTGAAGACTGGTGTCTGTGTCAAGCTATTACCAGTCTAGGGGAGACTGGTAAACTGTCAGAAGCTGAAGCTCTTTGTAACAAGGTATGATGGGGTCACACTGGCAGATTGTGGTAGAATTGACAGGAGCCATTATTTTTGTGCATTATATAGTAAGGTAATGTTTGAATTAACAACTGTCTGTTCCATCAGAGATACAAAATATAATATTTCACAGAATCACTGAGTATTCTGAGTTGAAAGGGACCCACAAAGATCAGATCATCAAGTCCAGCTCCGAAGTGAATGGCCTGTATGGGAATCAAACCTTCAACTCTGGCGGTGTTAACAGCATGCTCTGACCAACTGAACTGATGGTTGGCATATCCTCCCCTCCCCAATATATTGTTTGCAGCACCAGAACTATGTTAATAGTTGAAACAAGTAGTGTATGTGTCATGATAAAGCTGAAGTCTGTTCTTCCCGCCTAGAATTAAGCAAAACATTACCAGAATTCAGGGCAAGAAGTCAGAATAGGAGACATCCATGGGACTTCGATTTCTTCTGGATTGTATTGGTACTTTGTTTCAGAGCTCCAAGTGGATGCTACAAGTTCAATTATTAAAAAAGAGAGGTCTTGCTGCAACACAGCTATGGAAGGGAGCTGGGCTGTTAACAGCATTCAGGAGGTTCATAAGCAGAAGACTTGACAAAAGATAAGCAAAAAAGCACACATCCATGATTTTCATTAAGGCAAATTACTAATCACATGCAAATGTGATCCTTGCTTTTGGTATATTTAATTAAAGTGGATGGAAGTTAAAAAAAAAACCACCAACAACAAACAACAAAAAACCTAAACCACACAAGCAGATTGATTGAACAGGCTGGTTTTCAGGAGGAAGTACTTTCTTTCCTCTTTGTTTGCTTGGTGAGGTGTTTTCCTTTTCTGGCCAACTTGTCTACTGACCTGCCTTATATTAACAATGATCAGAGATTTTGAGACCTACAAGATCTGTCCTTCTCCCAGTTTGGCAGGGGGGAAGGTTGTGGTGGATTTTGCTTGTATTATGCTGATTTTTGTTTGATTAAATAGCCTGGGGAGAGGACAGTCAGGGTCTGCAATTAGTGTAGAAAAAAGAATAGCATTCCTTAGTACCACAAACCTTCAGTGGTAGTTTCAGACCCCAAAATCCTCAGAAAGCAGTGTAACTGGGAGTGGGGAGTCAGACACTGCTGTCTATCAGTGAAGGATTCACAGGCAACATACTTTGTTAAAAAATATGTGAAAAATACAAATGCTGTTTGTTAACACAAATCTGGTTTGTTATACTTCTTGGAATATTGAGATTTCAGCACAGAAAATAACATGCAGTGAGGTTTGCGAAAACTTCACATGTTTCACCTGAGCAGAGTAAAGCAACACGTAGCTAGTTTTCTGTCTTTTCTTTTTTGTGTTGGTTCAAAGAAATACTCTATGGATGCCTGCTGTTTCTGAATAGGAAATGTTTAGTAAAGTCCTTTTGTTCCAGTGAAAATAAAGTGTCTTATTTGGGAGAACTAAAATTTCTTGAAGCATAATCAGGGTCCTTTTTAGCCCCAAGACAGGTTTTTGCCTATGTTAATAGGCCCAAAATTTTTAATAATTGTCAAACCAAGTGACAGCTGTCTTTCAGAAACCAGTAAGAGTAGGAAATATAAAATGTAAATGTAAAATGTAAAATTAAGCTTAGACTTCAAATGTATTTTGAGGACAGTAAAAATATTTTATGTTTTTATGGTTCAGTCCTGAAATACTCCTTTGTGCAGTGGAGGAGAAAAATGCTGTGTTTCAAGCACCCTGAGAAAGCTTTCAATGTTGTTTTCTATAAAGAGCAGAATGGAAAATCTTAGTGTCCTTGATATTGGAGAATGATCATTCTGATTGGTTTGGTTTTAGGGTTTAAAAAGCTGCCCTGAGCACCCAGCTCTGTTTTTGCTTTTGAGACAAATTCAGTGTAAGCAGCTGTTGCAGTCTCACAAAGAACTTCCAGACAACATCCTGGAGGAACTTCGCAAGACAGTCATGTCCAGTTCATCCTCAGCTGCAGCCTGGCAAGTAAGTGTCAATCTTTTCCCTGACTGGTGTGCCACTCTCACACCTGCTGTAAGGGAGTGAGCATTCGTTTCACTGCTTGATTCTGCTTATCTGCTGACAGTCAGTGACAGAAAAAACAGCTTAAATTCTATTTGTTCCAAAGTTGAAATATCATGTTAACCTCTATAAAAGTTGGAATATTAAGGACTGCTAGTAAGACCTATTAAGGACCATATTAAGGACTGCTAAGCAGACATGGAGGCAGGAGAATTAAAAGTTCGAGATAAATGTCTTTAGGTATCTGTGATTTGACGTGTGAGCAGAAACCAATGAAATACTTCATAACTTCATAAAAATAAATGGAGGTAAAGGGTTTCCTGTTGTAGCAATACACAATTTCTTATTTAAGGGTCTGAAAAGCTGAATATGTCTCTTTCTCCATAATGTCCTGACTTCAGGTGTCACTGTACTTTTGTGTAATTTGACTGCAGAGAATCACTCTCAGTAACATTGTTCACTAATTCCCTTCCATGGCATGATGAGTAATCATTTTTAGTTGACACAAAAGTGCTAAATCTCTCTTCATATGCTGCTTCTGTGAGTCAGTCTGAGAAGTCTCACACATACCATAAGATCCTTTTGGTGATGCAACACCAAATATGTTCATTTTCTAACAGCTGCTTTTTTGTTTACAGTTATTATCTGTCTTTACCAATGTAAGTAGCACATTGTTTAAAAAAATTACATGAACTTTTAGAGTCCTTTATGTAGCTGAAGGATTTATGATGCTCCTCTGCGTGTTGATAAAATAAAACCCTGCTTGTGGTAAGATTCATTGGAGTTGTTTTCACTCTTAGAAGATCAGTGCAAGGCTGCTTTACAGATCATGATCTTGCTTCTTAGAAGGCTGCAGATGCCCTTCTCTACAGAAACACTAGGAGCATTATTTCTGGGGAAAATGCTTTTTTGATGCATTTTTCTGTGATTTGTGAGACTTCATCTTTCAGAATATAGAACTCATTCAGGTTGAATTTGCAAAATAGGGAACTTGCAAGATCCTATCGTATCCCCTTTTTTAATAACATTTTTAAGTTAAGTTAGGGTTTGTGTACATCCTGTAAGTGTCCCTTGCATAGCCAAGTCATCTTCCTTACAAGCAGGGAGAATAAGTGAAATGAGTGCATGTAATGTGGGGAGTGGGAGGGGATGATTTGTTTTAGTCTTTTTAATCCAGGCCACAGGTAAGATACCTGTGAGGAAGATCTTTTTAGTCTTCAAGGGCTTAGATAGCATTCTGAAAAACTTGGCTGCTACATTTTCTTCTAGTGGATTAATGTATGTTTTTATGTTTTCTGTCTCTGGACTTCCTGTGAGTTTGATTTATCCATTGTGAGGCCTTACAGTTTTTCCCCATTAGAGAGGCCATTAACTTTTCTTTCTGATTAAGTTTTTGGTTTTTGTCTAAATTGTTATGTGGGATTTAAGGGTGCCACTGAACTTCTGCTCTGATGGCTGTTCTGCTTTTTTTGCTGTGACTTGTCAGGAAAATAGAGAAAAGTAGACCTGGCAAAGCTGTCTTTGTGCCTTTGCAGGGGTTCTCTTCTTTACTTCTAGTGTGCTAGACATCTTCAGCTGCAAAGAGCTGAGTCTGAGGGAAGCTTTTTTCCCTTCACATGGATGAATGTTTTACTCTAAACACCAGACCTGCAGCCTGATGTCAAGAATGCAATGTCTCACTAGTGCTAATTAGTACTTCCCAGTGTGTTGCTCTTTGTAATTGGGAGTAACTTCTATGACCAGAAAGCATTAATAATTTTTGCCTCCTCTGACACTCTGCAGTCCTTAGCTAGGAAAAGTCTAGAGGCCTTTGCTCAAAAACAAGGGAATTACTTTGTTTACTTGGTGATTCAGCAAACAATATTTTTAAATATGGCTTGCACATCTTCATGCATATCATGTACATGGCAAGGATTTGCAAATATGGCTGCATCTGCTTCAAAAAATGTGTGATGACTACGGAATTAAAGACAGAGAAGATATAATCTTTTTCCTTCTCTTCATGAGGAAATCCAGGACATCTTGTGCTGGCAGAGCTGGCAGCAGCTGAGACAACCTATCAAAAAAAGTCTGTGAGTAGACTAGGGAGCTCTCAGAATAATTTACTGTAGTGAGGTGTACTGCCAGCTCTGCAGCAGACTAATTTTTCTGCAGGGCAATGCACAGTGTGTTGTTGGAATAAGGACTGGGTGCATGGTGTCAGCTAATATTATGCTGTAATACTCTTATAAATTGGACTAAATGGTATTACCTAATGGATGTGTGTTTTGGTGGCTCCATAACTGATTTTGTTGGATGTTTATTTTCAGTGGCTGGCGAAAATATATCAGTCTCAGAGAATGATGACTGGAGCAGAGATGTGTTACAGAAAGAGTCTGCAGTTGGCATCACAGCAGGGCAGCTGGAACGGGAAGTTATCCAGTCTGCTCAGGCTAGCTATGCTCGCACTGGAAATCTGCATGGTAGGATAACCAGCATAACATTACTGCATGATTTCACAGAAGATGGTGGAATAGAAGGCTTCTGTAGTCATTAAATTATACCCCTGTTACGTTTTATGAATGACAGCTAGGGAATAAAATGAGACACCAAGGGGCAGTGGAGTATTCGTAGAGCATGTCTTTGTAAGACAGGTTGCAACATAATAATCACATAGAGCCACTTTGTGCCTAAGAGGCTCACTTGCTCAGTGAGGCTTGTCCATAGCAGTTTTAGTTTGATCACCAAATTGACCTACCCCTCAAATGTCTGTCTTGTTCAGAAAACTGCCTCAACAGATTCTTTTTGTTCATTGGTGCCTGGAGAAGTCAGTCAGTCATGTTTCAAATATTTTTATGCTGTATGGTGATTTCCAGATATGATGCCTTGCACTGAAGCCTAAGAACAATCTAAGGGAATTGTAACTTGTGGAATAAAGAAAATTACTCTATTCCTTGCACTGGGGGGGCAAGGTAAACATATCTCAGGATCTTGGCAAGTGTTTATTATCTTCAAGCTGCATCACTCTAGAAACTTGAAGTGCACTACCAGAATTTAAATTCTGCTGTAAAATGTAGATACTGCTGTGATCTTAGCAAATGCTTTTTCACAAATTATTGAATGACCCAGTGGTAATCAAAATCAGGCAAAGCAATCCCCATTTATCCTGAGATCTTGTGTAAGAAAAGACACTCAGATTTACTGAGGATAAAGCTGCAAAACTCTTCTCCTTTTTGGAGAAGAGAGTTGTCCTCCAAAGTCAGAATTTGTCAAGTGACAATATTTTTCCTGCTGTAATTCTGTCAGTTTTTACTGGTCTGCTTTGTTTCTTATTGCTCCTAAATGCTTTCAGAGGTCTCCAGTTACTGCCTAAATTGATTAATACTATTTCTTCAAGGGCTGGCCTGAATTGCCTAAGAATAAACAGGACTTTGTTTAAAGATGATATTAGTATGAATTTGATTATCTCATCTCAACATTTTAAGCGAGCAAAGAAGCTGTAGGTGGATATTTTTTTGGCATTTCTGCGCTGGTTTAATGAAATGTATAAAAGCCTGGTGAAAAACTTGCTTAGGTCCAAGAAAGGTCTGTATTTGAAAATTGCTTGTCTCCCAGTTATCTTCCAAGTAAAGATTTGGTCACCCTTTCAAGTACACTGATTTGAATGCTATCCAGACACAATGGGGATAATAAGGTTTTTCTAAAGCCAGTTTTTCTTCCTTTGCTTTGCTTATATTCTTAAGATATATGTCTTTGCTGAATAGTTGCTCTGGTAGGTGATTACAGTCTAGAAGTTGGTTTTGACTTCTGATAAAAAATTATGTCACTTCTGGGGATAAATTTTACATTCTTGAATAGTTTTATATGTGGCACGAAGATTTGCAAGGGTTTCTGAAGCGCTAGTAAAATTTATATGAAAAAACAGAAAGACTATGCGCACAAATTAGCACAGGGGAATACTGGCAAGGCTGATCCTAAATAAGTTAATATGACTTTTCTAGGCACTTCTAACCACTGTTAGTCTGGAGTATTTTTTAAACAAGTGTCTTTCTAACCTGCCTTCTCAGAACAGCTTGAATAAAACGTGCTTTCTAGAGAGATGCAAATATACTACAATAAAGTAATTTTTCCACTGATTTTTCTTCTTTTTATTTTTTAAAATTTCTTTTTTTATTACTCTCTCTTTATTTTTTTCTTAACTTTTATAATAGGGTAATGTCTCAAATGAACACTGGCCATCCTTGGTTCAGGAGGCAACGACTGAAGCTTTGAAACTTTCACCTTCCCCTTTGGCAGCTCTGCTTCAAGCCCTGCTACAATATAATCGCAAAATGGGAGCAAGGTATGCATGATCTGTTAAGTTGTCAGTGAAATATCTTGTCTAAAAATACAAGTGGTCATTATCTGCAGATCTAAGTTCAAGAACTTAAACAAACTTGCAAGTGGAAATTAATTCTTTAAATAGTGTGGCAAACAAAATGGAGATGGGAGAAAGGGTTATGATGTGGGAAGCAACCAAATCTTCCATTATTTGTGGGAAAAAAAAAAAAAGGTGATGGAGCACCACTGAATGAATATGACATCCCTACATGTAGTTGCCAATTTTTACCAGATTTCCAATGGCGCTGTGAATTTGAAAATCTCTTTGTTAGGTGTTTTTGTTGTTGCTGTTGGAAGGTAGTATCAGCCAAACAGAATTTTAGACTTTGTGTCTAAAATAGTCACTTTGTCTCTATTCCAATTACCTTCTCTTCTGCACTTTCATATCTTGTCTCTGTTTGCAGGAACTGCAATAAGGCCTTTCCCGTATATTGCTTCTGGCCATTGTTGCTTGCTCTGTTGTGTTACATGGGGCCTGTTCAGTAGAATTTGATTTGGATTATGTTTTGATTATGTTTCCAGGGAAACTCGGCGAATGTTGGAGAGAATTGTTTACCAACCAGCCAATCCAGAAACCATAGTGTCAGTGGCACGCTGGTACCTCCTGCAACATCTGTATGCCAAAGATGATTGTGAATTAATAGATGTAAGACAATCCACCTTATACAGAACTTCTGTCTGTTTACGTTTGGTATTATACTTGCAACTGGGAAGTGGGATAGAAGAAGGCTAGGAAGATGTTGCTCTAGAGGTGCAAATGTACTACAGTTTTTGAAATCAACACCAGTTTGTTTGAATATCTTCCATTCATCCATGCAGTAATGAAAAATAAATAGTAAGGTCTCCAGTCCAAACTTGGAACAGTTTTAATGGTGATTCTTCAGTAGACATGAGGACCATTTAATTAAAATTTTAGGAATAATAATGTTAATTCCCTCTAGCCTGGCTGGAACATGTCATGTCCCTGGCCCAAAAGATCTGAGCAGTAGAATCTCTGTACTCTCTCTTAAAGGCTTGTGTGTGATGGTAGATTATTTTCAGTACATAGTAGATGCTGCATTAGTTTCTGTTGGCAGTACTTCACTAATGTATTTGATCAAACTCACAAATCCATGCAACTCTTTGATGTAGTGCAAGTGGGGTGTCATTCATTTTGGCTTATAATGAGAACTACTTTTCTCCTCAAAATCTGAATGCACTCTGAATGACTCAATGAAGACTGGTGATGAAGTCTTTTGCCCATATTATCAGCTGTTCCCTGGTGAAATGTTGAATCCAATACAAAGTAGATCTGGAGGTACATATAAAAAGGTGTAGACAAAAATCCATACACAGACATGCATAGACACAGATTAAAAAAGCTAGATTTAATGAGTTCAGAAGATCCTAGTGTGATCTCCTTGCACTTGCTTCTGCAGAGTCCGTGCTGATGAGATTATAATAATGGCTGGAGATTTGCTTGGTTCTGCTTAATGGTTTCCTTTTCAGTATGTATAATGTCATTGGGTTACAAGAGATGTGCCAGAAGCTTATGAACATTAGGTTACTGTGGGACCTCTTTTTAAGGTCCCTAATAGAAAAGATCCAAATATGATGTGTGGAAAATAAATCAGGGAAGCGTGAATTTAACTGGGGGAGGGAAAAGGATGTGGCAGTTTTTTTAAAGCAGCTGCAGAGAACACTTGAGTTTGGCAAATGGAGATTTATATAAAGGTAAGATTTATACAAAGCAGGGGACTAGTGTGTGTCAGCAGGAAAATAGGTCTGCTTGTTTAATTGCCAGCAGGTAACTACTTGTCAAAGTAATCAGTGATGCTTTTACAGAGCACTGGAAGTGATTACATTCACTGTAGCGCAGAGTTTGGATCTTTTAAGCAAGTTGATGTATAATGTTGAGTACTTCCTATCTGGGGATTATGGGTTAGATGATCTTTTAGCGAAACTGTTTAACAGGAATTTTAAAAGTACATTTCAGATTGCCATTAAGACAATAACAGAAAAATCTTAAATTCTCAAGTCGTTCTTTATTTTTCTCTGCAGGTGCTTATAGAAAATGCCAAAGCTAATGGAGATGTTAGAGCTCTGGAATTAAATGAGAAATTATCATCAAGTGCCTAGAATGGACTATCTGAAGCAAAACACTCTTATGTTCATCCAGTTGAATTAGTTCACCTTCCACAAGTGTATAGAGTTTGGGCTGTTTTGTTTATTGTGTCTGATTTATTTTTTTCTGCTTCATCAACTGCAGCCTTGTCTTTAGTTTTGCTTTTTCTTGAACAAAAGTAGGTTATTTTCATGTTGAGTTACACACATAAAATCACATTTATTTGGAAAAGAAAATCCTGAAATTTGCTTTTGTTTGCTTCCCCCACTTAAACTTTGTTGCTATTCACAATAGAGTATTTCCCCCCTAACTTATGTAGCAAACAGAATTCCCCTTTATCTACTCATGCATCTGTGTCAGGTCTGAGGGTTCTTGGGCTCTGATAACTCCTGGACAGCAGCTGGGGCCCCCTTCTGGGAGTGCTGGGTCACCAAAACTGATGCCTTGTGAAGGCTGACCTAGAACAGGGACTAGATGGAGTTAAAGAATAAAGTAGGTATTTATTGGAAGGCCTCAATGGATACACCTTGGGCAGTACAAGAGCCCAGCCTGGGCTACACCCCAGATGAACCCAAAACGGTCACAAAATGGATGACTGATCACGAGGTCTCTCACTTTTATAAGTTCTGGTCCATTACCATATTGGAGTTAATTGTCCATTTACAGCTTTAGATCATGAAGCCCCATCCTTCTTGTTTTTCTCTCCTCGGGCCACATTTATGCTCTTGGCCCTGAGATTTGGGTGGTTGTCCTTGGTCCCAGGCTAGGAAAGGAAAGGAATTGTTTTGTCTACAGAGAATCCGAAAAATATAAACGCTAAAACCTGAGGCATCATTTGGATGCACACAGAAGTACAATTATTAACGCCACTGCCGGGTTTTCTTGGCACAGAGTCTTAAGAGCTGGGTAGCAGACAGTTTCTGTCATCTTTTGGTAACTCAGCAGCTGATTACTTAATTATGATAGCTGTTCTTCAGATATGTTATTTTACTTTTATGTACATGAAAACATAAAATAAATAAAGCAATGACTCTGACCTGTGAAAGCTACCATGAGGATGTTTACTCTGTTGACAGGAGTCATGATAGTGGTCAGTTTTTTTGTTAAAATCTTCTTAAAATTTCTGTCCAGCAGAGTTTTACAATGGCTTATACAATCCTGTGTTATAGGCAGGAAAGGGCACTTCAAAAGTGTGCAGTGGGACAGCATTGAACATGCACTTGCTTTTGGAACCAGTTGTTCTGGGCTTACAGAAAAGAGGATGCTGAGCTAGAGTGCAAGTCACACACGCTAATCTCTGGAGAGTGTGCCACTCTCATTTTAACAGGAAAACTCAGCTCAGTGGGCTGGGGCTTCTAGTCTGTGGAGGGAAGATGAAACCTCTAAATAGCAAGAATCTCCTTATCTTCCACACTTTCATTCTCTCACTTTTCCTTAAAATTATTTTCTTTAAATTTAGATTGATTATACTTCACAGAGCTGCTGTCAAATAGCCTTGAACTATCAGTAACTGCAAATCTTAAATGGAAATGCTGCAAAAGCCAGACATGACTCTCAAGAGTAGCTGTAACTTTTTTTAGGTTGCTGCTATTAAAAACCTGGAGAAATTCTTGCAGCCTATGGTTTGTATCCTTGGCATATAGTCTTGGTATGTGTGCCACCCACTCTAGTGGTGGAAAAGCTGTCATCACCAGCCTCTTGGCAGCACAGTAAGCAACTGCCTGCCCCTCTTAATCCTTCTGTGCGAGCGTTAGCCTAGACTTTGCTGGTACTGAGCCCTGGATGCCTTATAGCATCTAGGAGAGCCAACAGGTGACAACAGCCCAGAGTGATGCCAGCTGAATAATTGTCAACTGTGAACATTTTGTATTAGGAAAAAAAATGTTGTAGTATGGTGCTTTTCTGCTCAAAACACCATGAAATTGTTTTACTGTCAACAGTGATGAGCTCCTTGAATAAGATAATAATACAGCCTGAAGTTGTGTTACATGCACTGTAGGAAAAAAACTCCACAAATCTCTGTGAGTTGTGAAGTACTCAGTTAAAAGTGCTCAGGGAAGATGAGTTTGAATTTAAGCTTTTGTGTAATTCAACAACATGAGGTAAAAGTCTTGCTCTCCTGATTTTTAAGCAATGTATGGCCTCTACAAAATTGTACATTATAGCAAGTCTGCTGTAACACTGGCAAAGCTTGTAAATTCCTGCAACTTGAGGCAACCATGTCTTTTATGTAATGTAGAGCACAGCAAAATACAAAGCCATGTATGCATCATTGATTTGGGTAATTGAGAATTGCTTATGGATTTCACTGCCTAGAAGTCAGTGTTCTTTGGCTGCTTTTGCTGTAAAGTGGGGAAAAAATAAACATTGCCAACTGTAAGTTATTATGTTGGTTTATGCTGAAGGCAGAATGGAATGAGATCTAATGAATTGAAGGTAGATCATTTCATGGCTGCAGATACTAGAGGTTGCTTTTTTAACCCCATGCTGGTTCTCACTAGAGAGAGCACCTCTAAGACTTGACAGGGCTTGCTCTTGGTGGTCACTCTTCTGGGAGGTCACTTGGATAGTGGTTTTTTCATGTCTTTCTGATTTTTTTTTTTTAAGTTTCATTTTGTGTTCTGTATTTGAGCAGCTCCATAGATTAATGAACAGGACTTCATTTACTGAAGTCCTGTAAAGGATAGGAACAATACATTAAATAGTGGTTGCTTTCAACACATTAAAAGTTGATTCTTTGTCTCTGCAAAGATTTCTGACCCATGCTTAATACAAATCACATTAAATCCAATCTATCCCATTATTTAATTGTATCTTGTGAAAACACAATAGCAGCTTGGGTTGCAAACTTGTTGTTACTGGGAGCTGTCTTCCAATACATTGGACAATACTAAGCATAATTATGGCTGTGATTGACCTCAGGCATGTGACATGGCAGAAAAAAAGACACTGTCTGTCTTTTAAAAAGGGGAGAATTGTTTGCTTTTAGTGCTATTTTTTTCATCAAGCATTGGGAGTTTCTTGTTGGTTTGGTTTTTTTCAAGACCACAATCAAAAACTCTGGGTTTTCCATCAGATGCTGATACTGTGGCTCTGCAGTTTGCCTACCAGATAGCAGAGTTGGTGCTGTGGATTTCCCGAAGTTGTAGGAAGTATAAATAGACTTACTCCTCATCTGAGATGAACACTGTTCTGTTGTGCACTTCTAAGAGAATGGGAGCTCAGCTTCCCCAGCTGTTTGTGCTAAGTGAAAAAAGGGAGAGATGGGGGTGTGCAGACACAGTTTTTCCAAAACAGATACAGAGCACCTGATACACATTTTTTGCACCACTGTACAGTCAGCTACTGTCCATAAAGACTGAAGAATTGTAGAATTGTAAGCTGCTGTTACCTCACTGATTGCAGTAACTTTCAAATTACAGTGCAGTAGCTCTTTGTGTTTGTTCTGCATCTGACATAGGTGTTAACTGCTTAGGAAGTAAGAACTGAACTTCTATTTTTTTCTTGAAGTGCATGTTGTAACGTGGCTGCCAATGACATGTTTTTCTTTTTGGAACAGTTCTTTAATATGGATTCGTTTTGTCACTGCTGCAGTCAAAACAAACTGCTTCATAGTGCTTGGAATTTTACAGATTCCAGACACATCTCTGATTTCCAGAACACCAATCTGTGCTGAAGCACCAACAGCTGCTGAGACAGTCAAGAGGCTGCCTCTGTCCCCTTCAAGCTGCTCTGCACCTCTTCAGCAGCCTCCTTCTCCCCTGTTGCAGGGTCAGCCCTGCCAGAGGACTGTCAAGGGGAAGCAGTCCTTGGACTTGAGTTTGAACACAAGCATGGCCAAAGTTTGATAAACAGAGCTCTTCTGTCCTCATTTTCCACAGGTTTATTTTCAACTTCCTTGAAGTAAAGAACTCTCTCAGTACCAAGATCTTTTATTCTGGAATTTCTTAGCCGTGACTTTCTTTGAGAGCTATCTTGTGCTCACTCAGAAGGTCTTGTAGACAGCTAAGCCTTGTCTTGTCAAGCTGCATAAAGACCTTAAATAACAGAGAGCTTAGTTTACTACAGGCCTGGGGCAAGGCTTACTGGTGTGTTGCAGATGATGAAGGAATTGGAGGGAAAGTAAAGAGCTGGAGTACTTGATCATAGGATCATACTTGATCATCCTGAAAGATGAGAAACCAGATGCTCAGGTTTTAGGTTGAGAACATGTAAAATGTGAAATACTCATGCAGTGATTTTCAGACTTCTGTTCCTTTGGAGAGAGGGCTGAGTGATTTTATATATATATATATATATATATATATATATATATATATATATATATATATAACCTGCTACATCCACTGTGTTTCCACCATCAGCTGCAAATGGGAGAGTATTACAATGGAAAAGGTTTGAGTCACACAGATTACAGTGAGTGAAATCTTCCTGGAGCAGACCAGGTACTCAGTGACTCGGGAGAAAGTCTTTGTAATTGCTGTGAACAGTCAGAATCATCTGGTGAAGCGCCTTATGCTTTGTGAGATACATCACTGTGACTGCCCCCATAAGAAGCAGCCACCATGTACCAGCAATACCGTCTGACTGCTTCCCTCTTCATTTACACAATGCATGCTCTATGTTGAGTAGCTGCAACTCATCCAGTTGCCTCTTTGTCCAGCTACTGTTGGTGGAGAATGGGGAATAAAGTATTGAAATAACATAAAACCATTAAATATTATCACAGCAACAAGATCTATATGAGAGAGTATCACTGCTGCCTCCATATGAAGATTAGGGATCTTTCTACAAAGAAATGGGTGCTCTAAAAAAGCTGGAAAACAGATTGTGACATTACCTTTAAATGAAAGACCATTACCTTGAAACTCTTGTGCAAAAGTCATGCTGGCTGTTTGCAGACAGGTGGGCTAAACTGAGAGATGGCTGTGTGAGGGGTTTTCCAGAGAGACAGAGTCACTTCAATATCTTTTTGTCCTTGTTGGAAAGTGGTTTCTGCAGCAGCAGGTTACTGTAAAAATATATTTTTAAAATAAATTGAATGAAATCCCATTCTCATATGATCTCTTCATTTTGCACTTCCTCAAGCTCTTTCCAGATCTGTCTTTTAAATTTGGCAGTTCTTGCATGCAGTTTTTTAAATCACTTTTCATCTGATACAACTTTTCATACTTCTGTGGTTTATCAATTTTTTCTGATTTTAGTGATGGAAATACCAGCTTTTCTTCTCCTCTTTTTTCTGCTCTTTCTTTTAAATACATAATACAGGTTCATGAACACGTTAACCTGTCTTCTGCTATCCATATGTTCAGTTGGTCCAGCTTTCTAATCCTATGTGGGACGGCACTCCATAAATTGCAAGGGGAGGTCTGGTACCCCAGAGAAAGTGTCAATTGTCTTTTCCACAATGAACCAAGTAAACCAGGAAATTTCTTTTCCTGTCTGGGCCAGGACAAATGTGTTTTAAAATATTTATTTATTTATTTTTATTCAATCATTTAAATCCAGTGATTTCATCTCAGACTGTGCAGTGTGAGACTCTGAACATAAATAATCCTTTTCAAGTTGCTTTCATGAGCCCATCTCAAGATTTCCAACCAAAGAAGTACAATGCAGTGGTGTAAACCCAGCCCAGCTGCTGGCACAAATAATGAGGCTGAGCCCTGAAAGAGCTGTCTGTCTGGGGGATGGCAAGCTGTGCCCTCCCACTTCCAAGCCAGTACAGCTCTTGGGGGCAATTCCCCTTGCTGGTGTGCTCAAACCTGAGCTGCCCGGTTGCCCACCCCT